TCTTCAGTTATGATCCTGATAACATAAATATTATAATTAGACTATTAGACCAGTGCTTAAGCCTTCAAAAATGGTAAAAAGTGAAAAAAAATTATAGTAGGATGAAACCCATTGGAAAAGGAAGAGAATATAACAGAAATGAAAAGAAAAATAATTTACGGGCGATCTGAGGTCGGGAAGGGGAAGGGGGTGAGTTTTTAAGGGTAAAAAACGGTTTCCCTTGATTTCCGGAAAAACTACAAGTCTTATGGAAAAAAGTTAAATGGCAAAGTTGTAGGTAATAAAAAGATCTACAACTTTTGTATTTACACTTTTTTCACATAACCTCAAAATTTATGTGAAAAATTCAAATAACCAAGTTTTTGGTTTTTTATTTTTATCTTTTACAAAAAAATTTTTTTTTCACGAAATTTGGTGAAAACTTACCTATTTATGTCCCAAACACGCTGTAATTTTTTTGATTTGAAATATTTATTTTTTCACCTTATTTTTACTTAATATCGAAAAAGCACCCTAATTTTCAATCGAAAATTCTCACGTCAAAATATCTGCTTTTTTAAAAACGTCGGTGGGCTTTTTCTTCGTTGTAATCTCTACTTTCTGATGGTTAAAAAAAATATACATTACTATGGTAAGTTTTCTCAGGAAATGCAAAGAAACGAAAGAAGATTCTACAACTTTCTCAAAATATTGTAGATGTCTTATTAAATATTAACTTTATTAACTTATTTGGTTGTTAATTATAATAGTATATTTCGACTTGTAATTTTTTTGTTTATCAATGTAACATGGAATCTTACGTTTTTCGAGTAATTAAAGTGTAAATTTTAATAAATAGCTCAAAATTGTACATAATGATTAGAAAAAAATTTTCGGATTCTAGTTCGTTTCTTTGCATTTCCTGAGAAAACTTACCATAGTAATGTATATATTTTTTTACACCATCAGAAAGTAGAGATTTCAACGAAGAAAAAGCCCACCGACGTTTTTAAAAAAGCAGATATTTTGACGTGAGAATTTTCGATTGAAAATTAGGGTGCTTTTTCGATATTAAGTAAAAATAAGGTGAAAAAATAAATATTTCAAATCAAAAAAATTACAGCGTGTTTGGGACATAAATAGGTAAGTGTTCACCAAATTTCGTGAACAAATTATTTTTTTGTGAAAGATAAAAATAAAAAACCAAAAACTTGGTTATTTGAATTTTTCACATAAATTTTGAGGTTATGTGAAAAAAGTGTAAATACAAAAGTTGTAGATCTTTTTATTACCTACATCTTTGTCATTTAACTTTTTTCCATAAGGCTTGTAGTTTTTCTGGAAATTAAGGGAAACCGTTTTTTTTTCCTTAAAAACTCACCCCCTTCCCGACCTCAGATCGCCCGTAAATTATTTTTCCTTTCATTTCTGTTATATTCTCTTTCTTTTCCAATGGGTTTCATCCTACTATAATTTTTTTTTGGTTTCAAAAATTATCGACCCTGGTCTATATTGATTATAGATTAAAATGAACTTAATGACGTTCAAGATATTTTATTACATGAATCGTTCAAATGGTCATTTTCGATGAAAAAACCGCGGAGTGCTATTAAATTAGAGGATGAAAATTGGAGATAGGGGTGAAAATGCACCCCTTTCAGTTTTTTAATTGTACCTCGAAAACGAAGCAAAATTTCGCTATAGTTCATAGGAAAAATTATTTAGAGAATTGAATTTTCCATCGAAACGGCTTATTTAAAGAATTTAAAAGAAAAATTTTATGCAAAAAATCGTTAATAAACTATCGCCATAGTTCCTTTTAACCCTGTTTTTTTGGATATAATCAATAACCTAAATATTGAATACAACTAAAGACGACGCTCTTTGTACCAAAGGAAATCAAGCCATAAATTAGGTATGAACGGCTTAGTACAATGCGTCTATTAGCCTAAAACCGGAAATCCCGGCATGGGCATAAAGGGAGGTCTTCCTTATTCTTATTCGGACACTAGAATTAGACGAAATTGAGCGGAAGTCGATTGTGTATCCCGGACAGGAAGCGTCTAAGCAAGTAAACAGTCGTATCCACCGTTCTTGCTACGGTTCCCATTGCAGTAATATGCCCAGTTCCAGGGAACGCCCAAACCATTCATTTCTGAATCGGGAAAAGTCTGTCTCGTGACCGAGACGAATTTTCGAGCGAGAGACTGTACAGGGTGTAAGACTACAACAGTGACAGCATTTTGAACACGCTTTTAATAGGGCTGGTACAACATGCAGAAAAATCGATGTAATAAGAGCTAAAAAAATTTCTATCATTGTTCAAACTTATTTTTCGTGTAAAAATAAAATCTTGCGTACACAACAAGCGTTACTCGGTTATTGCTCTGCAACACCCTTGATACATAAGTGATTATTACATATGTAGCTATCGAAAAATCATAAGATACAAACGTTTTAGGATTTTTCAAAATCTATTAAACCTACAATAAAAAAAAGTTAGGTATACAGTCTGTCAAATGTGATGATGAAACAAAATTGGTTTTTTTAACGGAACACCCTCTGTATTATTCCATATTTCAATTCTTCTAGAAATACAAAACAAAATTCTTATAGCACATCATGTACCTAAACTTAACCGCTTTCAAGACATCGAACTTTGAAAATCATTTTGTTATAAATTATACAAAAATATTTTAGTCCATTAAGTTTATAGTCCATCAGGTTGCCTTTGAAAGTTTCTAGCTCCATAACAACGCCGCGTCATTCTTTTGTCTAGTTTTGATTATCATTCTTGACAACACATGTCAAAAATATGTACATTTACTGTGAATAATTTTCTCGTAAAAATGGTGAAACCGAACGTGTTGAAGTTTTAATGATCATCGAATATGGTGATAGAGAAGGCGAAGTCGTGACGAGTAGTGGATATTTTTCATGAATTACATCCCGATCGCCCCCTTGGATCCGCGCCTGTGTTTTATAAAAATAAAGCAAACGCACAGTTAAATGTACTTGTCCTCGGCACTAATACCGTTTTTGCCTTTAATCCTAAGCAAGCACACTTCTGACGTCTATCGGATTTGGTTCCAAATGTGTTTTTCCAATATCCAACTGACCACAGGAAAGGTGGCATCTTTTATCTTCATTATGCCGTCCAGCTGCTTTTTAGTATGTCTCGAAAGTTGCATTGTTAAATAACATCTGCCAGAAGATTATGTGCTCAAAAAATATAATACGCTAGCACGGAATTTTGTACATAGTTTAATATGAACATGTAACAATTAAAAGGGACAGGAAACTAAATATTTTACAGAAAAAAAAAACCTCGACTGACCCGCATAGGAAGCGGTGAATTAGCAATTTTAGGAATTCCTAGTTATAGGAGGGTTGGGTTGACGAGGGTCCGATGCGTTTGTTTATTTGTGATTTCCTGCTATTTGTAGTAGAAAAATATCTGAATCCGTAAATCTTGAACAAATAAATAAATCGTACGGGAACTAAAATAATACAAACTTTTGCATGCACGTATTTATAAATAAATGAAGGATGTGCGCAATCTGTGCTAAAAGAATTGTTTTTTGTAGCAAAAAATTCTTAAAAATCGGTGATCGTCGTCGAGGAGCCCCGAAGTGTCGTCGTTTAATATTTATACAAGTAAGTAGAGTTACAAGCAAATTACTTCAATTTTACTCTTCCTTTCCATAAATATTTTTAAATAAAATAATAAAATATATGGGGTGCAAAGTGATGTTAATCTTTTCCAAGTTGTACCACTATTTTTTTATAAATTCGATAATTTGGAACCACAGACTTCTAAGTATATATAGACTGTGCGAGTCATTCATAAATAGCTCTTTGTTTACTTGACAACATTACTTGTGGGTGAAGGGAAAGGGGATCAGGAGAGGGGATAATAATGTCGAAGAATGCTGTAATATTTTAAATTAACCATAGGCGCATCACATAGTTTATGTTTGGGGTTAAATAAAACCTAAATTCTTGTTAAAGGCTAGAATTTTCTTACAGTTACATAATTTTTACACTATATTGATTATAAAATATGTTACTGAAAAATTATAGGTACTAATTTCAATTTTTCCAGTTAGGTACAAAAATACATATGTACTTACCGTATTTTATTGATTACAAGACCAATGTTTTTTTTCATATTTTCCTGTCTCTGTATTCACGGTGCGTTTTATATTCGTTGACAACTTACCAGGGTAAAGCGATTCTTTATTTTATCTCTAGTTTAGAAAAATAAAAGTGCATCCTATAATCGATGAAATACAGTATATTCTCGAATCAATTCAACGAGCAACTCATTTGCATTTTCTCAAAACGGCAATTGGAGGGGGACAAAAATATCTATTCGCATACGAGTTGCTCATCAATTGATTCATGAATTCATTAAAACCCTTTAGAGTAAAATTACCGTTTTAATAGTCAATCATATGTCAAAATTATGCATTTTACCATGGTTTATTTAACAAAAACAATGATTGTACTTTGATGAAAGGTGGTAATACCAGACCAACATAATATAACTAAAAAAAATTAAACATAATTTAATTTCATTGGAATTTATTTCGTAATCTACAAAGAATGAGCAGTTAAGTTGTACATACACTAGGGCATTATCATTAAGGTTACAAATATATAAAATACTTTTTTAATGTTACTGACAACTTTGAATTCACTTTATGATTTTGTCTTAAATTGCTATTATTTATATACAGGGTGAGTCAGTCATCATGGTCAACTTTAGGCATGTATTCAGAAGGCCTAATAAAGCAAAAAATTTAAAAAGATTTTTTACTCAACCTTTTATAAGAGAAGCAAATCAATCCATAACTCACGGTAACACGCGTTCCTGGCTCACATCAAATGCAACCCAGGCCGGCACCGAGTTGACTGTGTATTAATCGNAGCACTGATATAGCAGTCTGTAATTTAATTTGAAGCTATATGTTTCTTATACAAAGAAGAAGAAGAAAGAATTATAGCCCCTCCTGTGATCCTGTGAACTTGAACAAATATCTAACGACGTAGGATGTACCAAGAATAAGAGGTTATGTGATATTATTTTGATAAAAAGTTTATGGATATGGATAACAAATTAATCTGCAGACTGTGTCTCAGGAAAGAGCACCCGCGATATTGCAAGACTGTGTCGCCTTTAGAAGAAAACGAAGAAAGTTGCAATATCCTAGAGATGTTAAGCTATTGCATACCAGAGATAGTAGGTTTATTTAGACCAAACAAACAAGCTATACCTTAATTTTCTAGGACATATTTTTGGTTGTAGATCCGGTGATATGCCTGCGGTGCATCAACTTGCTGGAGGCTGCGTTCAATTTCAAAACCGAGTGCCTTAAGATCGAAGAGAAGCTGTTAACTCTCTCGCAAACCATTGATTCTAAAATAGATCTGAACTGTTTTTATAAGAATCTAAAAACGGTTAATAACAATGATCACACACTAATAAACAGTGGTAAGATGTTACTATTAACATTTAACCTATGTCCACACGTTTTTTTTTAGTGTCGGAAACGGAGGGAATAGAAGTGATAAAAATAGAAAGAGCCCTTGAACAAAAGTCAGAATCTGGCAAAAAAGGGACCAACTTCAACTGTGATAAATGTTACGGTTGCAAAAACAAGTTCAAAGATCCAAGTTACCACAACAAAGTCTACGTCAGTCCATTCATTTGTTACAACTGCGGTAAACAGGCGAACACCATCGAGCAGTTCCGCAAACACATCACCAAGCATCGGAGACAGAGGAAATGCAAGGTTTGCCAGAAAAACTTCAGAGATCTGACACAGTTGACGGTGCACCTCCGAACCCACACGGGTTCCAAGCCGTTCTCCTGCAAGCTGTGCGGAAAGTCCTTCCGTCAGAAGCACAATCGGGATCAGCACCTCAGGGCGCACAGAGGGGACAGCACGGTCAAGTGCAACGTCTGCGACAAAGTGTTCTCGACAAAGTACAACCTCAAGGTGCACGTGCAGAACACACACGTTAAGAAACCCAGGTGCGAACTTTGCGGAGCCGGGTTTTACACCAAATCGGCTTTGATCAAACACTTGGAAACGGACCTGGAGACTTGCGGCAAGACAATTAAAACGGAGGTAAGTGCAGTATAACTTAGTAGCACAAACCTAAAATGTTAGGTGGGTTCTATCATCCACAGAAACGGGGCTGGAGGAGAACTGGTCAATGGAACAGATTGGAGACACGTTTAACCCTTTTTGGGGTTTGTTCTTGGCCATTGGGAGGGGGGAATATTGGGGTGCGGATGACGTGACAATATATTCGTGGTTTTCGTTTCCCTTGAAAATAGGCGATGAAGTAGATGTGGCCGGTAGAACAGATTATATATGCGTTTAACCTCCCTTCGGGGCTTTTGGCCGCTTTGGTTGGACAGATTTAGGATGCCGATGGCATGACAGTATATTCACGGGTTGTACCTTTCTTGCGAGTGGGTGACATTGCTATCCGCATTGCATTTTTACTTTTCCTCTACACACGTGTCTGAAATTAACGAATGAATGAAAAAAAGTATAAACATGGCCTAAAACAGACAAATAAACCATCTGCCGGGTTTTTTATGATCGGCACTTTATTCCAGAGGCCAAAAATAACTTGTATTTACAGCAATTTTCAATTTTGACCGGTGGTATCTGTTTTGGTTTCGGTGAATCGTATATCCACGGAGATTTTTGGCTTTTTGATTTTCAAATATCACTAGAAATGAAAACTTTTCTATGCGCATAAAAAAAAACGTGGGCTTAACTTTTGGCGGCACAATATGTTAAAAAAAAATTTAAAAAATGTCATATTTTTCTTCCTATTTAATTATGTATCTTTTCAAGAGTTGATTTTAGGCGAAAATGGAAGAGGAAAAAAATGTTTCTAATAAAATTTTACAAATTATGACTAGTTACGAATCGAATGAATCATGATTATTATTGTAAAAATCAAAATAATCGTCAAAAATGGGGTTAAAAACATTACTTTTTAGGGAATTTTTTTGGGGTCTTTGAGTTGGGTATAGGACCTTCATACGGCTCTTAGATACTTGAAATTTTTATCACATATAGAAGGGCTCTCAAGTTTTCAAACGCTTTTTAAAAAATTCGAATCCGTCAATTAGGAGAATTTTTGTACTATAATTTTGTATTTTTGTAATATAATGAGTTAATTTCTCATTTGCTTATATTTTAAGCGTAAATAATATTTGAATTATACTTTAATCACAATAGAAATGATCATTAAATTAACAATTAACATTAATAGGAAGAAAAATATGACATTTTTCGATTTTTTTTAACATATTATGCCTCCAAAAGTTAAGCCCGCGTATTTTTTTATGCGCATAGAAAAATTTTCATTTCTAGTCATATTTTAAAGCCAAAAAGCCAAAAATCTCCGTGGATATACGATTCACCCAAATATGGACTCTGAAACAGATACCGTCTGGACTAACTAAACTTAGTTGTTGAAGTCATTCAAATATATTTTTGGCTCATTCCATTTGACAGTAGAGCGTGTTGATCGAATATATTCAAAATAATCCACCCAAAGGAAATAGGGTACAAAGAGCAAATGTTGAATGCATCTAAAACGCCCCCACTACCGTTGCGTTAATTGTACCAATCAGAAGTTGATACAATTTTCTGTACGATCTTATAACTTAACCACTACCGTTACAATTTTATATACAATTTATTTCTAGTTAGTACAGGTTTTGATTTATGACAAATAAAATTTAAACTATTTTGGAAATGCAAAATGTGCATAATTTTAGCTGGGACTGGAGTGTCACATAAAAGCAAAAATAAAAAAGGAGCATTAAAAATTGAAATTGATGTCTGCAGGATGTCAGTCATTCAATTTTGCGTTGCAGTAAAAATTGTTCGTACAATTTCAACACTAACGGTATAAATAATAGTTGGTATCAATTCGAATACAAATATTGAAGTAGAAATTGTAACGTTAGTGGCTCGTTTAAATCAATCTAAATATTTTAAATACGTCCACCGTAAAATCATCATAGTGGGAGAGCGGTAGCCTCTGCCTTCAGGTGTAACGCCCGTGCACCCGATCCCGCGGCAATACCTGAGAAGTATACAGAGAACGCTCTTTAATATTTTAGAATAAAGAGTGTTATAGTCTTTCCAAAGTCAGTTGAACATGTATAAAAACGCCTAGCAATAAAATTTAATGAGTTTCATAGGCGTCCCTAAAAAAGGTTTATGCTAAAGGTAAAAAATTATAATTGTATATAATGTGTAGGAAATTTCTGTTATATGTTCATTTGGCCAACAACATATTTTAATTATTTATGTCCTCAAACAATTTTATTATATTTCAAAAGGTCTCCAAAGTGCCATGTTGTAAACAAAAACCCTCTTATTTCTCCCTTTCGCAATAATTGTAATATAAACTATTAATAGAAGATGCCGACAATAAATTAAAATTACCTGAATCACACCAAATTCCGCATTGCTGCACCGCACTGCTAGGCCATTTGTTGACAACTGGATTTATGGCCAGTTGCCCAGTGCGGCTGTTTTTGTGCCGCGTTTGCCCGCCCAACTGGGCGACTAGACCTGTATGGCTAAATAAAAATGGGAACAAGTTTTTCAAATATTTCAATGCCGAATTGCTGCATCAGCGACCAAAGCTGGTACATACTGCCAACCTCCTGGTTCTTCAATTGAAATCGGAAAGACTGTACATAATAATCAAAATGCATAAAAAAATATCAAATAACGTAAACTTATTACTCTTGTTTTAAAGATATTAATTATACAGGGTACCCCAAAAATATTTCTGCTTCTGATTGTAGGATATGAAGAAACCGATATACTGGTGACCTTGAATTTGACTTTTATCTTAACTTTCAAGGTCAACACAAGGTTACCTTGAAACTATTAAGTGGCGCACCATGTCGTTTATGCCAACAATCGGTGATATGCTAAATTTAACGTGCAAAATGGGATCAGAAAATTTTTCCTGTATGTATTTGAAGGCACTCATTTTTTTGTAAATGACAACAAATTCAAGCAATATACAGTGAGTGGCAAAAATATGGAATATATTTATTTAAAAATCAGATGTTTGTTATTTGAAAAATTGCTCGGACCCGTCGAATATTTTTAGTTGCGCATTTTCTGAAGCAATTTTCATTTATACAGGGTGGCCCAAAAAAAAGTTATGAAATCAAGGCCAACTTTTTTAAATGGAAACCCCACTTTTTTGTATTTTTATTCAATTCTCCATGGAATTCTGATCATTTTTTGTGTAACATAATATGGAAAATTTTCAAAAATTACCCTCAGATTTACCCTGCTGGTTTTAAAATAAAACCACGTTTACTTTTTTGTCTTAGATTTGTGTGGTTCACAGAAAGTTGCTTCAAATCAGAAAAATCCATAAGAAATAAGTGGTTCGGTGATTTATTTTGATCATTAGGACGCAATGACTTGAATGTAAAAAATATAAGTGAGGTATTTAGGTATAATTTAATTAAAAACGCATAATTTTATTGTATAAAATATGATTTTGTTAAATGTCACTATTTAAATTACGAGCCAGGTTATTTTGCAAGTTTTTAGCACCGAACCACTTATTTCTTATGGATTTTTCTGATTTGAAGCAACTTTCTGTGAACCACACAAATCTAAGATGGAAAAGTAAACGTGGTTTTATTTTAAAACCAGCAGGGTAAATCTCGGGGAAATTTTTTAAAATTTTCCATATTCTATATTCAGACGCCATTATCTCGAAAACGGTTAAAGATAGGTACAGGTTATGTTTCGTAAAAAATGATCAGAATTCCATGGAGAATCGAATAAAAATACAAAAAAGTGGGGTTTCCATTTAAAAAAGTTGGCCTTGATTTCATAACTTTTTTTTGGGTCACCCCGTATAAATGAAAATTGCTTCAGAAAATGCGCAACTAAAATTATAATTTGACGGGTCCGAGCGATTTTGCAAATTACGAACATTTGATTTTTAAATAAATATATTCCATACTTTTGCCGCTCACGGTATATGCTTACTGTAGTCCTCTTTCCAAACTTCTTTTAACGTACTGTATCGTATGTTTTTGTTTTTAGATTTTGGCAGGTCCCCCTGCCGAAGACTTCATTAAAACCGAACCAGAATACGTTTTCGCGACAGAGAGCATCCAAAAAATCCTGAAAGAGGAAAACCTGGACGAGGAGGAATACAAACCTGTGTTCACCGAAGAAGTGGATATCGTTAATTGATCCACCAAATTCTTTGTAGTCTCACTTTGAAAATTAGGGTCCAGAGGGACGGCCGCCCCTCTAGCAATACGTTATCATTGAAAATATATCGATTATGCATGTTATAGGTTAAAAGGAATATTGAGAGTTGTATTTTAAAAATTTATTTTAAAATAGTTTTATATACAATATATTTTTAAATGACATTATTAAAAGTGTTTTTATACTTCTTTATTTCGTTTTAATCCACCTCTCCTGTGCCGCCTCCGCTCGCCTTTCCACCTATTTCAAATAAATGGGTATTAGAATGGGACGAAAACCTTTTCTCATCGATAGCAGTATACAGTTTGTATATTTTAAAACTTTTATGTATACGTTAATTTACTACGTCAGCAAATTTTAGGGCGATTGTAAAACAAAAAGATTGTATAAACAAACATTGGTTTGCATGTCGATAGTTTTTAGGAAACAGGGTGTCGAAATTAAAAAAAAAAAATCAAAAATGTCTGAAGATACCGTTATATAAAATGACGAAACTTGCACTAATGATATATCTAGTAAAAGGTGAAAATCTGTTGAATTCGGATATAAATAAGTGTACCAGCAACAGTTACTGTCATTCAAAACTCAAAAAATTCGAAGCCACTGAATATCTGAAAATTCAAAAGAAAAAAGATTAATTTTATTCAAAAAACAAACCGTTTTCGAATATTACTTTTTTTTTACCTTTCGTTAATGGACCCACTGACTTCATTAAACAAAAAAAGTTGATCGAATTAAAAAAAATAGTATCCAAAAATGATGCGTTATTATTCCGGGGGTGATTCTACATGAAAAATGAATGCTACAAAGTCCTATTAGAACATTTCGAAAACTCAAAACTAGTGAACTTACAGGGCGTCAAAGAAAAAATGTTTTATTAATTTTTTCTAATAACTTTTTGCTAATGCACCGATTTTCCTCAAATTGTGCGTAATTTCCTATCAACTTGTTTCTAATGAAGAGTTTGTTCTCAAGGCTTTTTTTGTTAATTTTGAACAATAAATTCAAGCGAGTTTAAAGTCGTTTTTATCGTAATATTTGGTGTCCCGAAATTCATGCAATAAAATTTGGTCATGGATTCTTAAGACAAATTTAGGGGACCCGTATTTTTTCTTTTTGCCAACTGGCCCCCTCTTTCCGAGTTACAGCCCCCTGAAATCTGCCCCAAAGAAGTCTTTTTTATATCTCAATATCATGTACGAGAATCACTAAATTTGGTACACAGGGGTTTTATAACATGTAGAATCTCAGTGCTACGCTTTTTGGCGAGAAACCCCTTTAAGATACTTTTTCGTGGGTCTTTGGAACCAGAACAATTTGGTAGCAAATTTGATTTTTTTTAATTATTAGTTAGCTAGAAAGCCATTGAATTTAGAAACTTTTTTCTCTTGATATTTGTTTCGTAAAACGCAATGTTTTTGAGGAAAATGGCGAATCACGATATGCATTCGATCACATTTCGACATTTTTCTTGAAAACATTGCGTTTTACGAAAAAAGTATAAAGGGACAAAGTTTCTAAATTTAATGGCTTTCTAGTGGCCTGATAATTTTTAAGAAATTTAAATATGCAACCAAATTTTTTTTTCCAAAGACAAGGGAACCTGCCAAAAAGCGTAGCACCATCAGATTCCTCATGTCATAAAACTCCTGTGTACCAAATTTAGTGATTCTCGTACAACAGGGTTCTGAGATATAATAAAAAAATATTATTCTTAGGGGCGGACTTCATGGGGCTGTAACTCCGAAAGAGGGGGGCCACTCGGTAAAAATAAAAAATACGGGTCCCTTAAATTTGTCTTAGGCATCTGTAACCAAATTTAGTTGCATGAATTTCGGGACACTCTGTATAACAAGACGGCCTTTTTTTTAAGATTTTTTGACAATTACATGCTATCCAAATTTTTTAAAACGTCGAACGAAACAGTTGTAAATCATTTTTTAGGTCTTTTTGGGGTTGTACGACATGCGCCAAATTAAGTAAATACAAAAGAACGCCAGTGATAGAAAATCGGTACAGTCACAAAAAGTTATTAGAAAAAATTAATTAAAACACTTTTTTATGCTGGGTAAATCTGCTAATTTCGAGTTTTTGGAAAAATTTTAAGGGACTGTGGCGTTAATTTTTCATATAGAATCACTAAAAGCCCAGAAAAATAATTGGCACAATTTTTTTGTGGATCATACCTTTTTTTTTTTTTGAGAAACAAGCTGTTCTAGAGTATCATTAACAGTCATTGGTGGTGATTAAGGTCGAAGAAAACACTCATTTTTCACTTGTTGACGTTTCCAGATTCTGTACATTGTGACATCCTCGGGATAGAGCGATGACATCAACAAGCAAAAATAAGTGTTTTCTTTGATCTTAATCTCCAACATTGACTACTGACGATTAAAATGGTTTGTTTTTCAAAAGAAAAAAAAATGTATGTGATTTTCTTGTCAGAAATACAATTTTAAATACAAACAAATCGTGGCAAGTCCGAAAAAACCAATGGAGAGAAATTTTACATTTTTGTTACAATGAAATAGCCCAGAAAAAAATTACGGAAATTATTTTCTTGCAGTTTAAAATTATAAACTTAAAAAATAAAATTAGATTTAACGTGCTTGGCGCCATTTATAAAAGTTAAAAGTAAATAACCGAAAACGAATTGTTTTTCAAATAAAATGAAATACACCTTTTTTTATCGGAAATACCACAAGGAGTTACATTAGAATTTTCAATATATTCAGTGGTTTAAAATTTCTGCGGATTTTAGTGAAAGTAACTCCCATTATCTCCGCCACACGTATTTATACCCGAATTCATGGATTTTTACTTTCAATTACGTAAATTGTAAGCCCAAGTCTCGTCAATCCGTATCAAATGTCTTCAGCCACACCAGAAAGCGTTTTCTTTTTAATTTCAACACCCTGTATCACGAAAACTATCGATTTGCAGACCCATATAATCCTTTTGGTTTAAAATCGCTAAAAAAATTTGTGCACTACTTAATAAACACCCTGTACATACTGAACCTTTAAATTCCACTAAACGTCAATTTTCGAAGGTTTTTGACACATTTTTTTTTCTACATGAACAAAAAAAGTCAGCAAATTGAGCCAATCCATAAAAACGTAACCACTTACCAACGGCAATCTCTATCGATGACAAAACAACTCCTTTTTTTAATAGAAAACAGAAATTTTCTAGTTCGTTTTTATGAACTGGCGCAACATTGCAAACATTTATGATATCATCGAGCAAAATGTTGATTTTGGCTGCGCTTCCACACAGGAACTTGTCAGAGTAAACTTTTTCAACTTATCCGTTAATTTTACAACATAGTTTCTAGACCCAAAGAGTTTACTCCGATAATAACGTCCAGTCGAAAATAAATTCCTTCCGTATTTGCCAAAAAAGTTAAAAACGATACGTGTTACAAAAAATAGGGAACAGAAATTTATTTTCGACGTCAGCAGCCTCAATTAAGTGTAAAGTGACAGCAAAACGTCTGTCCGATAAAGAGGGCACCGCTACGGGGGCGCAGAAGCGGCCCGTGGCGGCACCCCCAGTAAGACGGGTGTGTGATCGTGATTAAAAAAGTGATTCAAACAATCGGAAAAACTTACTTCACATCGTCGTCCCACCTCAGCCCATATACCACTCACAAAAAAACCATTTTTACAACTTGCTTCCCTCAAAATAAAATAAATACAAGTACACATCCACATTACCATTTTGACATTTTTTCTTACCATTCACCAGCCAGTACCTCGACACGTTTCATCAACAAATCTATTTACGTGTAAATAAATATATGTTTTAGAAGTATACCTAGAGAATCACTCATCAAGATCTGCAATGTTTTTTTTTTTTTAGGAGATTTCCTTTTAAAGAGAGTCGGGAAGGGAAGTTTTACAAGTTCTGAGCAAATCAAGCCGGCCTGGCACAAGGTTTCCTTTAAACGTTAAGAATTGCAATTGTTTCTTTACCTTAACCTCAAAATGTGTGCACATTGTGTTTTGTAGTTTGTTAAACATGTACAAAAATTAAAATCAACTGAGAAGTGAGACTCGGGCCCATTTTGCTCAAAACTAAAGAGGAACATCAAGATCTGTAGTGGTTCATTTTACGAAATTTCCTTTTAAAAAGCCGGGGAAATGGAAATTTTACAAGATCTGAGCAAATCAAGGATTATTAAGAAAGAATTGCAATTGTTTCCTATCCTAACCTCAAAATTTGTGCATTTTGTATCCCGCCCAGGCAAGTATTTTTAATTGTTTATTAAGCATGTACAAAGATCAAGATCGATTGAGGCTTTCTCTGCTCAAAACCGAAAAGGAATATTCTACAGAGAGGAAGCGGTGATGGTGTCTAGAGCACAGATAAAAAACAGACCAGCTGAAATCACTCAAGATTTATGCATATATTAACCAGCCATAACTACAATTAAGTTACTGAGGAGAAAAATCCTTACTTAGAATTAATACAAAAAAAATCTTTACCACTTAGTCCCATCCACATGATAACTGTTTATAAATACACACTTGATTTTTCCACACTAGTTTTCTAAACGGAGATAAATCTTTTACACATTTACACCGAGCCGGAGAAGCGACGGGCAGAGCGGCGAAAAGACGAGAGAAACATTCGCTACGATTTTTACACTATAAAAAACACGCTCGCTAAGCATTATTTCCACGACGGAGTTCTTTTTCGAAGCTTTGCCCGAGCCCTCCGACAAGTCTTTTTTAAACACAAAATTAATTAACCTGGCGTCAAATTCACCTCATTTCCTATTAGACAATGGCATCTTTATCCCTATTTTCACTGATGGACAAACGCGCTCGTTCTTAGTCAACAATCCTGCCTGCAATAAAAATAAACTGAAGATATACGGATTCACATTGTTACGAGATAAGATACGGCGATGCCAAAATGTCACTTTGGCGACATTTTAGCGTCCAAGTTGACCTTGGGCAATAAAAAATCCAATTGAGATTTCGATCGAGATATACCACCGCGAGAATTCAAACGGTACTTACCGATTATTAGCCTAATCGTACTTCAAGAAGCCCTTATCCTGGGACTGCTGGGGCGGCGGCCTGGGCCACTGCCCGCCATCCTGATTGCTCTGACCCCCGCCCTGCGACATCCAATTTAAAAAACCGGGGTTGTTGCCCCCCTGGTTGCCGCCGTTCTGATTGCTGCCTGCTGAAAAGAAAACAGTGATCCTGAGGGTGGTAGTGTAAGCAGGACAAGACGTTGATGTTTATCCAGCTCTTCTGAAGTATGTTACAATTTTTTTTATTGATATCGTGTATACAGGGTGTCCGCAAATTTCACCGACAACATTTGACTGCATATTCACGACGATAAATAAATACGATCCACGAAAAAAAGTTGCATAAAAAATTTTTGGTTTTCGAGTTACAGGCCTTTAAAAAGTTGCCAAAAAAAAAAACAACTAATTTAATTAATAACTTCATAACCCTTTTACCGCACGGGTTAAAATTTTGGTCAAAGCGATATACTGGGTGATAGTTTTCTCCGGTTACCTCTCCCTTTTAGCGGTCAAAACTTTTAGTGGTCAAATTTTTTTAAAACGGGCAGGAACATTGAAAAGGTCGTTTTATTTAAAAAATATTATCCCTTGAGAAAAACGGCATTATTTGCAGGTCTGTACTTTTCGGTTTGTGTAGCAATGTCACAGATTTAAAACTTTGCGTTCGGTAAGCGATGAAAACAAGATGTTGATTGCTGTGGCTATCAGGTAGTGTCATTATTGTCGTGTTTCTTTAGGATTCTCATCACTCCACACAAGTTTTACAAGTTATGAGCAAATCAAGTCGGCCTGGCACAAATTTTCCTCTGAACATTAAGAATTGCAATTATTTCTTTACCTTAACCTCAAAAACTGGGCACATTGTATTTTGTAGTTTATTAAACATGTACAAAAATTAAAATCAACTGAGACACATGCCCATTTTGCTCTAAACTAAAGAGGAACATGAAGATCTGTAATGGTTTATTTTACGAAATTTCTTTTACATAGTTCGGAAGGGAAATTTTACAAGATCTAAGCAAATCAAGAATTATTAAGAAAGAAATGCAATTGTTTTGTATCTTAACCTCAAAATTTGTGCATTTTGTGTCCCACTCAGGCAAGTATTTTTAATTGTTTATTAAGCATGTACAAAGAACAAAATTAATTGAGGGTTTATTTGGACTATTATGGCGTATTATTTCTTAAAATTTTAGTCAAATCAATATACTGGGTGATAATTTTTCTCCGGTTACCTCTCCCTTTTAGCTGTCAAAACTTTTACAGCAACATTGAAAAGGTCGTTTTATTTAAAAAAAAATATCGGTCATGTGTGGAGTGATGGGAATCATAAAGAAACATTACAATAATGACATTACCTGATAGCCACAGCAATCTTGTTTTTGTCGTCTACTGAGTTAAAAGTTTTAAATCCGTGACACTGCTACGCAAACCGAAATGTACAGACCTACAAATAATGCCATTTTTCTCAAGGGACAATATTTTTTTAAATAAAACGACCTTTTCTGCCCGTTTTAAAAAAATACGACCACTGTAAAAGTTTTAACCACTAAAAGGGAGAGGTAACCGGAGAAAACTATCACCTAGTATATAGATTTGACTAAAGTTTTAAGAAATAATACGCCATAATAGTCCAAATAAATGCCCCAAAATTTTAATGCGATTAAATTAGGTTTTTTTTGGCAACTTTGAAGGCTTGTAACTCAAAACCCAAAAAGTTTTTATTTAACTTTCTTTTCGTAAATCATATCTATTTATCGTCGTCAATATGCAGTCAAACGTTGTCGGTGAAATTTGGGGACACCCTGTATGCGATTTGATTTGAAAAATGATAAAACAAAGTGAACTCGCCGCGCATTGGGACTTTTTAAATTAGATTTTTTTTTTGAGAAAAACCCGAAATGAACTCTCATATCTTGAAAGGTATACATACATGCATCCTCATTTAAAAGGTAACAGTCAATTGAATCAAAATATCAGCCGTGTAGGGACGGGAAAATGTCGAGATTTCACACAAAAAGCGAAATATAATCCATTCACAATGTTTTTGCATTCCGGATAACCTTGACGTGACTATTTTACGCTATGAATAGATTATTTCATGCCACAAACACAAAAATCTACCGCAATCACACCTACTCTTATTCAAAATCAACCTCCCTCTGAAAATCGTTCATGGACAACTCTTACAACCACCATTTTCACAGGCTTCAGTTACAGAAAATTTTTTCAGTCAATCAGACTCTTTCATTCGACACTCTCAAAACAGCGGTTATGCCGGCATTATTATAAGCTTCTTCTATACTGAAATCCTCTTGCACTCACTTTTATTTATACTTAGCTCACTCCTTTAGGAATTGTTACATTTTAATGTTTACTTTTTGACGACAGACTAGACAATACATATTTTGGACTTTATATGTAATTTTAGTATCCGCTCTGATAAGGGAAAGAGGTAATGTCTAATTATCTTGGGGAAAATGTGCGTAAAATGTCTATTTATACAATTTATGTGGATCGGGGTACGTATCTGGTGAATTTCTTTATGTGATAACACCCGCTGCTGACCGCACAATCATCGCAACAGAAAAATACAACAAAATTGAAGAATCATTTATAAACTGACGAAAAAAGTTTTCCTTTAGACTGAACATCCGTACAAAATTACCTCGACACTAAAAAAATGAGCCCATTTTTAATGCTGTGATAATTTTGTCTATATTAGAGTCCCAAAATTGTAGGCAGTGACTCATTTTCAACGCACAGATCGGTACGGTGAATAACGCACGAGAAACCCCCACTCCCATAACATCATTCACCGGTACATCCGCGATTCGTGATATAGTTTCCTTATATGTATTATTAATTGATCTGTAAAATTAGCCCATATACGACTACCCTGATGGATTGGTACTAGCACATGATTTCGTTTTTAAAAACACACTAGAATAACAAAACTGTGGAAATACTTTTTTCCCACTTGCACGCATACGACATGAAAGGAAACGCTTAAACTGAAGACTGACAAATTGAGAAAATAGTAAATAATCACATTTTTCGCACTTATGACAAGAAAGGAAACACGTAAGCTGGAAACCGACAAATAGAGAAATGAAACTGCACTGCTGGCCATGTCTCTTCTTCTACACGATAAGAAAAGCTAGAAATGGTGTCTTGTAATAGTAGAACATTGGCAGGCAGAACATATTGGAACACTGTGCAAAATGAACGGCACATTACAATATCCATACAGAGAACACACAAAATTATTTTGATCAGATTAGGAACCTGTAAACATTGTGGTGTGGTTTATTTATGAGTCTTACTGCCTGCTATTTTGGAACTCTGGCATAGGAGAGTTTATTTTGTAAACAATTTCCCTTAAGGTGGTATATCGGGTTTACTCAAATGCACAGATGTACTTGAAATATATATAGCATATTATCCAGTGCTCCCTATGTGCGTCATATTTTTTTGAATCTAGATTTTGAGATATTATTGAAAGTTGTTCATTTTAACATAGAAGATGGACGGTGTGGCTCTTTTTTTTGCCCATAACAGAGAAAATGTAGAAATTGTGAAACAAAACTTTTCCATAGATAGTACACAGTATTGTCTTATTTTTTATGTAAAACCAATAATTGCATTTCTGTCCGACTTGAGGATTAATGTGGCAACGTCGCAATCAGCTGACAGCAAGGAGAAAATACATTTGAAAGACTTGATAAAAACGAAATTGATTTCAAACATATACATTTTTCCTAAATCCCATGTAAATTGTTATCAACAATAAATTATCCACAACTGATGATTTTTTGTAATGTTTTTAAAAAACTAGATTAATTAAAAAAGGCTAGGAAGCTGCGATATATTTATTGGAATAAAAAGTACAGTTGATAAATCCTTTTAATATATATAATGGTTTATAAAAACATCATAATCCGTACCCAGCAATATTTAGGGTAACATAAAGTTTTCCTTACTCGATTAATATAATTAGTAATACTTGAGATAAAAGTATTTGTATGGAATAACAAAAGAACATAAATATTTATCAGCAAACTTTATATCTAAAAAATTAGTTATAATTGCAAAACTTTTGTAACATTACTCAAATAGAGATTAAAAACACGAACAGTGAGTAATAATGTAATTTCTATCACAGAACCTTCAAAATTGCATCCAACATTTTCTTTGACTTGGAAGAGAGATGGGCGCGAGTGTCATTTCATTTCTTTAGAACTAAATTAATATAATTCTCGTTGTTTTACCAGTTCACATGATTTACGGATTTTAAATAAAGGATACAAATCTTCGCGAGGATAATACGATATATTTGCTATATATAACAATTATATTGTACATAGTTTACACACAATACATTTTTGAACACGGTCGCATCTTTACCCAAATTTGACGCGCAATATCTCGGATGTTCGAGGTCTGTAGGTTCGCAGTGTGTACAACTGCTAGTCAATTATTAGCGCCGTTGCCACATCTACATAGTCTTTATGCGTTCATTAAATATAATTTAATGACTACTTAAATATGATATTTCTACGTTGTTAATTAGTCGATATGTATGTTATGTGCATACGAGTAGATTTCTTTGCTATATAGATAATGTCTACCGCAAATAATTTCAATAGAATTTAATTTTTTCAAATTGTCAGCGGGCTTTAGTCCCATAAGAAAAGGATAGGACCCCCCTGCGCTCCTCACTTCCCTCGGACCCCGATATACCTCCTTAAACGTACAGACATTTTATTTAAACAAGAAAAATTTGAGTCGGTATTTTGGACTGTTGTGAAAATTCGTGACAAACTGTCGTAAAAAATCGAATCGCACAGACAACCGCTCGGTACTTACCGTTGCTATTATTAGGTCCGCTGCTGAACCCGCCCTGGTTAAAATTGGGCTCCGGTTGGTTCTGCAGGTTGCCGATGAGGCCCCATCCCGCCTGATTGAGGGCGGCCGCCACGATGGCCGGGTTCATGGGTATCGTGCCCAGATTCAGTCCCAGCCCTAACGGGTTACAACTCTGCTGGTTGCTACCCTGCTGTCCCTGACCTGTTATACCTAAATAGCATAAATTTCTGCATTGTGAATTTCGTCGGGGGTACGGTCGTAGGTTGTTCGGTTGATTTTGAACTTAAGTCTCAGAGACGGCATTGGAGGGGGGATTGTTAGTTTTGGGACGGTTAGGAGATGAGAGTCTCACGAAAAGCCACGGGAAAGGTACCCAGCAACCTGGAAGGCCTAGAAATGTTTCCAAAGGGCTGAAGTGATGTTTTTATTTCGGTACGCTCTGAACGCTATCCGACAATTGCCAGTGAACATGGATATTTGCTACAGTTGATAAATAAATAAATACTTTAATGTATGGAGTGACCCTTAATTGTTAATATATTTTGAGAAGTTTTGTCCGTGTAAAAGGCGATCGTTTATGCCAGCGCAGGAAGAAATTGCGAGTATGACAAATTAAGTTCATCAATTTTACAAAATATGACTAGTTACAAATCCAATGAATCATGATTATTATTGTAAAATTCGAAAAAATCGCCAAAAGTGGGGTTAAAAAACATTACTTTTTAGGGAATTTTTTTGGGGTCTTTAAGTTGAGTATAGGACCTTCATACTTGGCCCAAGAAAACTTCATGTTATGTAGAATCATCACACCAAATTTCATCAAAATCGGTTAGATAGATTTTGCATAATTTTGCAATCCAAATTTTGAAAAAAAAATTTGCAAATTTTCAAAATTATGCACAGCAAAAACCAAGGCCCTTAGATATTTGAAAATTTAATCACATACAGAAGGGCTCTCAAGCTTTCAAACGCTTTTTGAAAAATTTGAATCCGTCAATTAGGAGAGCTCTGGCGCTTGTTTAAACATTGGTCGAATTTTTGTACTTACAATTAGAATAACTGTGAATATTCAACCACATAAAATTTTTTAAAATAGGTTTTAAAAGTTCTTGGAAAGACTTAAAAAAAAAACAATTGATTGGTCAATTAATTACGTAGTTACAGTCGATCAAAGTTAACCGTCATTTACATTAAATGTACTGGGACATCCAGGCAAATTTTTCGAAAAATATCTTTGGTATTCCGAGTACTTACCAAGTCTAAGTTTGCAATACTTTTCTTCATTGGCAATCTACTTTAAAACGTTTTTAAAGTTATTTATGCAAGCGAAATATTCAAGAAAATTGTACGGGTGGTGGTGGAGGGGAAGCAGAGAGTGCGGCCGCTTCAGCCTGCTCGAAATTTTTATATTATCAAATGTACTGAAGTGCATAAACTTATATACCTACTGTTTATCAAAGATCAAAAACAAATTTATTTAAAAATTCTAAAATTGTATAAACAACACTTAAGTATTTTCAAAATATGTCGAAAATTAGTAATATAGTGAGTTAATTTCTCATTTGTTTATATTTTAAACGATAAATAATTTTTGAATTATACTTTAATCACAAAAGAAATTATGATTCAATTAATAAACTAATTATAAAAACTCAATAACTTTTAAAACCTGCTTTAAAACATTTGATTTGATTTAATATTCACATATTCTAATTGTTTATAAGTACAAAAATTCGACCAATGTTTAAACAAGCGCCAGAGCTCTCCTAATTGACAGATTCGAATTTTTCAAAAAGCGTTTGAAAGCTTGAGCGCTCTTCTACATGTGATTAAATTTTTAATTGTCTAAGGGCCTTGGTTTTTGTTGTGCAAAATTTTGAAAATTTGCAATTTTTTTTTCAAAATCTGGATTGCAAAATTATTATGCAAAATCTATCGAACTGATTTTGATGAAATTCGGTGTGATGTTTCTACATAACATGAAGTTTTCTCGAGCCAAGTATGAAGATCCTATACCCAATTTAGACCCCAAAAAAATTATCTAAAAAGTAATGTTTTTTAACCTTATTTTTGGCCATTCATCCGATTTGTAACTAGTCATATTTTGTAAAAAATTTAATTACAAACATTTTTTTTCTCTTCCATTTTTGCCTAAAATCAACTCTTGAAAAGATACATAATTAAAAAGAAAAATATGACATTTTTCAAATTTTTTTAACATACTGTGCCGCCAAAAGTTAAGCCCACGTTTTTTTTATGCGCATAGAAAAATTTTCATTTCTAGTGATATTTGAAAGCTAAAAATCCAAAAATCTCCGTGGATAACGATTCACCCAAACCAAAACAGATACCGCCTAGTCTATAATTATTATTGTAAAATGTGTTTAGTCGCCAAACTGTCAAGTTAAAGATGTTTTAATCTTCCCATCGACATGCACACAACGACACTTCACTGAGTTTCATAGTAAACACATAATTTTGAACTACAGAATGCAATACACGAATAACGAAATAAGGTAAATTTGAATTGCTGTAAATAGGTTGATCCTCTGACGAATTATTTGTAGTGAATGTACCGGAAGATGGTTCGGATCCGAGGCACTTAGACCAATAGGTTAAGGAGCAACGGTAAGTTATCTTGCATGATATTTACACCAAAGTATTACAAAGTAACTAAAGATGGTACCGTTTTCGTTATATCTAACGATGAACCGTCAGAAATTAAACGCAACACAGCCTAGAAATTTATTCTATTTCTTTCACTGTAAGATTTTTATTAGGGCCCCGTTTACGAGATATTGTAACTTTTTTGGATACGCGACATCGATTTAGTCGACGTTAGACTTTATTTTTGGGACTATATGAAAGATTTATACGATTCGTTTCTTTAACTGTCGTTTAATCAGTATCGGTACCAAATAAAAGAAATTTTTCATAAATTTCCTAAAATTAAAGTCTATCGTCGACTAAATTGATGTCACGTATCCAAAAAAATGAGAATATCTCGTAAACGAGGCCTCAAATCAAAAAATTTAAATCTTACTGAGTGAAAAAAATAGAATAAGTGCTGCTTGATCTAAAAAAAATATTCGGAATGCCTGGGCATACTCAAAAAAAATGGTAATGGGTAAAAAATGGGGGGTCCATGGGTACTGCAACCCCCCTCCCCTCCGTTCGCATTTTGATATTTTAAAATCAGAAAGGTCCCATTATTTTAGTCCAAAGAATATGTGGGTAACGGCTTGACCTACTAATGTGTGACCTGGCCTGTATATTACAGTGCAAAAACGGTACATTTGAACTACTTTTTAGGATTGTCCCAAAGTAACTTCGTTTTTAACTAAAGAAGAGTACCTTTTTGTAAATTTTTTTAATAATCTTTAATATTAAACTGTTTAATTTTCAAAAATCGCAAATAAGAAATAATTACAGCATTATTTTTGGTGTGGGATGACTGACGATCCCTTGAATTTTCTGCACTCTTTCCCGAACATACCGCAGATTACTGATTTTCATGAGAACATGTAAATCGATTTGTCAGATCTTTTACGCCGATTGGGAGGGAAAAATCGAAAGGTCGCTGCTTGAAGTTTGTCGCAATTCATCTTTTGCACCCTAGCGATGGACTGTAACGTTTTCCAGAACCTTGTAACAAAATTTGTCCCTATTTACATATCGAAAAAGGTTTCTGAAAATTACTACACTCCATCCTCGGGGTAACATCTACATTTAAAACACAGACGCGAAAGTAAAGGGCAGAATACATTCGTAAAAATCACTCGATAATAGAAATAAAATCAATCAAATTTTCAACTTACTCATACTCTGACTCATATTTATTGAGTTATGCCTCGAAATTTTCTTTTTTTTAGCCATATACAAGACATTCTTCGTTCTTGAGCACCGTGTTCAACGTCGCAATCATCGCATCACTTTAACCATTTACCGTTTCGACTGCCACACTTCTTCATTCAAAATAGTGGCACTTGTCGCCGTCTAACATTTTTTAACTCAAAATTTTGGCCGTACGACTTGTTTAAATGAAATCGAAATAAAATTTTTTTATTTAAAACTTGCTTTGTTATTAAAACCGAGATATTTTCACATTTTAAAGACAATTTCTGCACAGGGTACAACTAAAATCCTGAGCCAAACTTCATTGTCAAGAAAATGTTTTTTTTTTAATTACAAAGAAAGTGATTACGTTTGGCCAACGATTCCAGTTACTCCCTACAGAACACAAGTGAAATTTCTCGAAAAATTTCTGACGCTTTAGAAAAAACGTGCGACCAAAACCACCCAACACAATTAATTCGTTAACTCTCGATCGTCTCGTGTGAAATAAGCATCGCTACAGAAAAACCATACATTTATTAACGGCATACAACAACTTCATGGGGAACAATTATATTAGAACGGTCAACTAGAGACACCAACAGCTCGGCAACTTCAATCATTTACGTCATATTTCCGCACCACCCATTCTCTCTTATACCCTGTAAAATATACCTGAGTTACATGGGGGGCGTCCTTTTTCACAGATCTTAATCTCGCCAACGTAGGGCGCGTTTACCTGAACCTTTCGAGGGATTCGGACAATTGGGACCGTTAACGAAGGAGGCGGGAGTGAGGAGGTCGACTAGATATAAACGTAAAAACTGTTAGATGAAATGTGGCGTGCAAAGCAGCGGGGTTAGGCGGAGTGAGGGGAAGACGAGCGGCCACGCACCTTCGATTGCGGAACTATAGAAATAGAGGGTGTAATTTTTATTCAGGATAGTGACACGTGTTTCCCAGCATACTACTCCGATATTATTATTTTTTAAAATCAATTAAACAGTCAGGGTGTAATTCGTACTTTTGTCTACGCCGTTACTGGGCGGTTCCCGAATTCTTGGTGCTGCTTACCAGCGCTGCCCGTTGTTACCTTTTTAAATTCACTGGAAGGGAAAATCATGATTTCATAAAAATATGTGACTTTTATAGGATTATAATGTCAGCATATTTTTTTTTGTTAGTTCAAATGAAACAACGAACATTTAGAGTTAAGTTTTGTAAATCAAAGACCTTTGTAAGCAACAGAATAAAAACATTTATTTTAGTGATGGATATTTTATATAATAACGCTAATTTTTGTTGGAAATAGTTCTAAATATTATGTAAAATGATTATTGCGATATGCGCCCGCTGAAAAAGTTGTACATAAATGTAAAAAAAATAAAAAGGCAAATTTTTCTCCCTTCTTTCATGTATAACTCGAAGAATATTGACATTAGAGAAAATAGTCAAAGGAAGAATAGTTTCGTTTTGAGATTATCTTCAAAATAAAAGTGGTCCAAAATTTTTATGTGCATTATTGTCGCTGCAATACAGTATAGACCGAAAAAAAATTCGTTAGAAATTATATTTTTTTCATTAATTCATTTCGGACCTAGACTTTAGAGGAGCCATATAAAAAGTATGGTTCTGAGTACTTCATGGTATGATAGTATTGCAGAAATTTTTTCATCGAAATCGGCTGGGTAGATTTCGCACAATTCGATTGTTAATTAAGAAAATACAGAATTATACTTATAAATAAATTCATGAAAAAAACATATTTTTCCACAAACCTTTTTTCAGTCTATATTGTATTGCAGCAACAATAATGCACATAAAAATTTCGAGCCACTTTTATTTTTAAAAGAAACTCAAAACGAAACTTTTTTTCCTTCGACTATTTTCTCTGTCAATATTCTCCGAGTTATTCATGAAAGAAGGGAGAAAAATGCGCCTTTTTTAATTTTCTTTTTACATTTTCTTGCGTTAACAATTATGTACAACTTTTTCAGCAGGCGCATATCGCAATTGTCATTTTGCATAATATTTAGAACTATTTCCAACAAAACTTAGCGTTTAATATTTAGAACTGTTTTCAATAAAATTAGCGTTTAATATTTAGAACTATTTTCAATAAAAATTAGCATTTAATATTTAGAAGCATTTTCAATAAAAATTAGCGTTTAATATTTATTTAGAACTATTTTCAATAAAAATTAGCGTTTAATATTTAGAACTATTTTCAATAAAAATTAGCATTTAATATTTATTTAGAACTATTTTCAATAAAAATTAGCGTTTAATATTTATTTAGAACTATTTTCAATAAAAATTAGCATTTAATATTTATTTAGAACTATTTTCAATAAAAAATAGCGTTTAATATTTAGAACTATTTTCTATAAAAATTAGCGTTATTATATGAAACATCCATAGAACCTAGTTTTAAAACAGATACCGACTGGACTAGATTTGAATTTACACTAACAAAAGCACGAAAATTACAAAAAAAAAAAAGGTTAAGAACATTTCACTTTTGAACTTTCACAACGCAATTTGAAAAAACAAACACACGTTTCTAAAATCAAAAGCAGCCTCCGTATAAATCGACCCCCATTCAAAATTACACCCCGTATATTTCACCTCCGCCGAACCGAATCCAGCATAAACCGCCATCACCCCACGAACAAAAAGAAATCGACTCACCTAAGGCCTGAAGGTTGGGCATGTCCAGGTTGCCCCTCGGCCCCCCCTGGTTGGCCCAGGTGCCTTGGTTGGGTCCGGGTCCGTTGTACCTCTGCTGGTACATCCCGGGTCCGTCGGGACCTCCCTGTCCACCGCCGCGGTTCGTGCCGTGTCCTCCGCCACCGCGCATGTCTCGGTTGCCGTAACCGCCGCCCCCGCGGGACTCCGACTTGGGCGCTGCGTTGGAGACGTGCACAGACACTCCTAAAAATTCCAAAAAGCTCAACATCTCCCTCACAGAGTATCCTATGATGATAATAATCAAATACAATTGAATCAAATACTAAAAAAATAATCAATAATAAAGTTCCTAGATATCGATGTCGATGTCAATGACGTGCGGAGGCTAGCCTCCGCTGTTCTGTTAACATGCAAAGGTTGCACGTGTTCTGATATGGTGAGTAAACGACAAACTGCCACGTTAATCCGGCGGAATAGGATTGACCGATATATCGTCTGTTCCATTCTTATTTAGTATTCGACTATTTCGTTTCGTGAAAATGTGTTCGTGTAGTACCTTTGTGTGGTGTAAGTAACCTTATGAAGTTATTTCTTTCAGTGTTTAGTGACGGTACAGTGTATTGTGTTTTCGTTTTCAAGATTTTAAGTGATACAATAACGTATTGTGACAGACGGGTCGTGCTGTGATGTAATGGGCAAGTTTAAGGTACAAAATTCATTTGAGTGTTAACAAGATAGCAACAAAAATGTAATAAAATCTGTAATACTTTTCTGCTAAAAGTGGCCTGCTAACTTTGTCTTTGTCAATTCAAAATTATTCGTAATTGTAATAGTTTCATTAAAATCTCCATACGCTTTTGAAATTTTTATAAAAATTTTCAAAAATAACTAAGTGGTCAGTAATTCTTGCGTTGTCATTGACTTGAACTAAAAACGCACCAAAATTAGTGACCACACAACCGTTCCGACCAACGTCGGAACTGGCATTAATACATCGAGTATATGATTCAACACGTTTAACGCCGTATACATCTAACATATTTCGAGCTCCCTCACCTTTATTAAGCGTACCTTTAATGATATGGTCTTCGCCGCACAACGACTGTGCGACCTCCGGGTCCAAGAACGTGACGAAGCTGAACGCTCTAAAAGGCTTCGGTATAAAAACGTCCGTAACCTCCCCGAACTTGCCGAAGTACTCCCTCAAATCGTCGGCCGTCAAGTCCTCCGTACACCTACCGATGAACACCTTACATGGCACCTGCTGAATGAGACCCTCCTGCAATCGAAAAAACGACCCGAGTCACCAACGGTTACTGGGAAACTTACAACTCGCTTACTTTGGAGTTTGGGACCTTAACGTCACACCATCGCCCGTCTATCATGTGCCTCTGAGCGAGCACCCTCATCTGGGACTCGTACGAGCCGAACCTGATGAACCCAAACCCCTTCGACTGGCTGGTTTTGGGGTCTTTCTTTACCTGGGCCATGAGGACCTCGCCGAAAGTCTCGAAGTACTCCCTCAGGTTCTGTTCCGTGGTTTTCCACGGCAGACCCAGCACTATTAGGTCGGTGCAACGCAACTTCGTCTCCATGCGTTTGGTTTTCGCCGTGGAGTTTTCGAGATTGTCATCGCTTTTCCTTTTATTTTCTAGAAAAACGGCACTTTAAAGGAGTAGTATGTTCAGGCGCATGCTACTACATCATTAAGGGGGGGGTCAATAGGATAATTGGAAACCAATTGCTTTAAGAATTAACGAATCTACAGTGAAAATGTATCAGTGACATTACAAAGCTATCATTTATGTGTAATGCTAAAAACTATACAGGCAAGAAAGAAAAACCAAAATACAAAGGAGCTTGTAATGAAGCCAAAATGAAGTTTGTAATTAAGTAAAACTTCAAAACAGTCACTCAAAATTAACCAATTCTATAATTACATTTAAATAAAACAACAATGTGTAGAGTAATGACATTGCTTTATCTGTCCGCGTCGGCTACTGTGTGGGGGTATCGATTACAAAATAACGCAGCGTTACTAACCTTTGGGAAAAACGCAATAGAACACTTGCGAGCCCCATCCGCCTTCGGGGGGCGGATGGAGCCGTCCCTCGCTCAGTCTTACTCCCCTGAAAGACTTGCTTTCCGGGTTCCTATATTTTAATCCCGACGAACCGGGAAATTGCGCCGCCAAGGTACTCAGCAAAAGTGTACCGTCATCTTCCGAAGGCAGTTCGATGGGTTCCTCCCCTTCGTCCTCGGCCACTTGCAGGTACTCAATCGACATCTTTCAAACCAGTCAGACACACAGACACACTCAAAATAAATAAATTTAGCGTAGCACTACGCTAACCTCTCAGACTCGTCACAACTCCGTAAAATGGCCGACAAATAATATGTCGTTTAAGCGGAGAAAGCGCTGTTGGCTTCGATCGTCACTGCTGGCTCGATGAACGACAGTCGGCGTGGCATTGCAACGTCACTTCCTGTGCGAAACGCTTGGAACGCATCTGGATCACTTTTCCATTTGTAAATAGCTCAGTTCTTTTTACATGAATTAATTCTATCACATCATCCACCAATTTTAATGTTCCAAAGGATCCACAAATTAATTTTTTTATATACACGCCAATATTTAACAGATGAGGATCCACATTTTTTCACAAGGCTTTGTGATTTTTCTATAGATGTTTAAAGGTATTTTTTTTCCCAAATAGATAAAGACAATAGAATAGACAAAATCGTATTGGGTTCAATTTTCAAACCAAGCGTACGCATGAAACTTCGGAAAAAATTATTTCAGATTAGATTAGGTTAAGCAACATATATAACCAAAATATTCATACTTTCATACTTCATTCATGATTTAAGGGAGTTTGACTATTCTATTTGGGAAAAAAATTGCTGTAGCATAGAATTGTAATCAGTTATTGTAATAGCAGTGTTTAATTTACATCATATCTCAACCAATAATTTTAACTCTTTCGATTAATTGAGATCTCTGATAAATAAAACTCGCCTAATGTACCCTGAGGCCCTTTCGATTAGGCAAAAATAGTAGCTAATGGCAACTTAGAGTTACTCTGAACTGATATTAGTTGCTAATCGGTCTTATTTTTGCTAAAACGAAAGCCCGCCTGGTCTGTGGATATATATCTCAGTGCCATGGAATAACAATGTATAATGGATTAGATTGACACCGTATTATATGATCTCTGTTTTTGTTATTTTCAGTGTCTCAAAACAAATCGGTTAGAGGTATTAAACAATATTTTTTATACGTAATCTCAAAAGATAATCAATTAATTTGCGCTGTATATAGATTTTGACCTGAAACTCGATCGCTATAAGGCCTTAGAAAGGCCGTTATGTGTTTTTAAATGTTCCAATAAACTGTGACTCCTTAGTTTTCTGTCAGTCGTGTAACCCTACTTCAGATTTCACAATGTTTGGAAATTTGAACAAACCCGCATTTGGAGCCACAGCACCCAACACATCCTTTGGTAAGTGAAGAAATTAAAACAGCCCATGGTTTGTACAATTTTTTTTCGTTTTAAGGTTTTGGTGCAACCTCTACGGCAAGTGCGAATCCCTTTGGACAGAGTCAACTTTTCGGTAAACCTACCACTGGAACTTTCGGCAGCCCATCCACCTCGACGTTCGGGCAACCCAGCAATACTTCTTTGTTTCCCTCGACACAGGCACAATCCACGAACTTATTCCAAAATGCAAACACTACTTTCGGAGCCCCGACGTCTACCCCGGGCGGTTTTGGTAAGTACTAGTAGTGAATTTAAGTTTTTTTACTGTACGGATCTTCAAAATATTTTAAAAATTAAGTTTAACGCGGCATGTAGCGTATGGCTGAAGACTATGGCTGAAGAAACGGTTGGAGATTGATTATTGGTGGATATATTTGGGTAGGATTCAAGAAAATGTATTGGATTAGGTTGGGAGTGAAAAAATTGTTTTGCAAATAAACTGTATAAGTTTAATTTATCAAGAGATTGTACTGATTGTTGTCTGTACTATTTCTTTGTAGTATGTTGCAATTTAAATCTTTAAATACAAAAGTAAATGTAAATTATTAACGTTAATTTGTGCGTGAATCATCTTACAATGATAAGTCAACTATTTCTTTAGCATACAGCCGTTTCATGTACTAAGTTCCAAAATAGTAGGCAGCGGGTCACGTAAATGAATCAGACAATTTTTGCAGTTTTAAATCTGTTAAAATAATTTTCTCTGCATGGAAAGTGTAATGTGCTCTACATTGGGCATAGTGTTCCAATAATACGTTACCAGCGTTCTAATTTTCGCTTGTCGTGCAGAAAAAGAGACGAGCGTTACACAGTTTTATTTCTCAATTTGTCAGTTTCTAGACGTTTCCCTTCACGTCATATGCGTGCTTTGGGATAATCTAATTTTAAACAAAATCGACATCAATTTGTTGTTGTATATTTATTAATTTCTGTAAAAGGAGACTGTCTACAATTTAGGACTCTAGTATAGTCTAATTTAAGATATTTTGAGGATTTTACTAATAACTAGTGGCATTTTTATGGTGTGTAATATTTCGATTGTTTTTATCTTTAAACTTGATAATAAAATTGTATGAAATACAGATAAAATATTTTCAAATGATCGTCAATTATGTTGAATTTTACTGTTATTTCAAATTTACTAAAAAATTATATATGCTTCAAAGAAATTACAGACAATAATCAATATTACAAGTTTGTAAAATATATGTAACAATATAAAGTCTATTAGAAAATAAAAATGTACGAATTAGATGCATTAAAATACATTTTGGCACTATCAGAAGCGAAAGAACTGACTATCATTTTGAAAAAAAACGATTTCGGGAATGACCCCAGACATTTTCACTTTGACCTTTCCCCAGGCTCTTCCAACCTATTCGGACAGCAACAGGCCTCCACTAGCGGCCTGTTTAACACATCCTCCACGTTCGGACAACAAAACAAGCCGCCCGGCTTCGGGTTCGGCACCCAATCCGCCCAACCAAGCCTGTTCGGACAGCAACCCCAGCCGCAACAGACATCCAGCATCTTTCAGCCGTCCACCAGCAACCTATTTGGCGGCACTACCGGATTCGTGGGCCAACAGGCCGCCGGGACAGTCGTCAAATTTAACCCGGTTACCGGCACGGACACTATGATGAAGAACGGGGTGGCACAGAGCATCAACACCAAACACCACAGCATTACCTGCATGAAGGAGTACGAGAACAGGTCGTTTGAGGAGTTGAGGTTCGAGGATTATCTCGCCAACAGGAAAGGTAGGGGCGGGAAGAGGTTAATGATTTAGAGCGTCCGATTGGATATCCAGACTTGAATCCAACAGAAAATAATGATTTTAGTGATAGAGTAGTTAATTTATAAGAAATAGATATTTTTAATTTATTTTTAAACAAGGTTGTCCTGTTTATACTTATAAAAAGTGAGTAAAAGTATATGCAGTACTATATATATATTTTTAGGACCGCAGCAACAAGCTGGTTTCGGTGCTCCTCCGTTCGGAGCAGCCGCGACTTCAGCTCCATCGCTGTTTGGTCAAACGGATGCCTCAAAATCGGCTTTCGGACAAACTACCGGTTTTGGGCAAACCGCTTCGACTTTCGGGCAGAATACGAGCGGTTTTGGGCTAGGAAACCAACAGCAACAGTCCGGGGGCTTGTTCGGTAAGCCGACAGGTTTTGGAGCTCCCACCAGCAGCACGGGTACATTTGGTTTTGGAGGTACGACCCAGACGGCGAATCCTTTCGGCGCCACCCAAGCCGCCAAACCATTCGGAAGCACGATGCAACCTATTTTCGGCACAAACACCAACACAACGCAGCAGTCCGGGTTTGGTACGGGATTGTTCGGGCCAACAACCACACAGGTGCGTATTTCTTGTATGTTGTTTACGTTTTAATTAAATCGATGTGTTTAATTTCTCACAGAATACAGCCGGAAGTTTATTTGGTAAACCTACGCAGCCCACGACGGGTTTTGGAGCAGGTCAGACGTCAACGGGCTTCTCGTTTGGCCCGCCAGCCTCCACACAAACCTCCAGTCTTTTCCAGCCCAACAAACCTTTGTTCGGTCAAACCAGCACTACCGGAGCTTTCGGACAGACGAATACTTTTGGAGCTACAAATGCGACGCCTTTCGGCAGTACTTTTGGCAAAACGACGGCGCCGGCGTTTGGTACATCCCAACCGTCAGCTTTTGGTACTTCTATGGGAGGTTCGTGGAATCATTTTTGTGTGAATTTTGTTTTTTTAACGACTGGTTTTCAGGTTTTCAAAATACGGGAACTTCACTTTTTGGTAATACAGCGGCTAAACCCGGCGGACTTTTCGGCAATACTGGATCGACGGGTTTGTTTGGTAATACGGGCACAACATTTCAACCTAACGCTGGTTTTGGTCTACAGCAACAGCAGTCGTGAGTGTTATTTCTGTGCAAGTGTACAATTTTTCATTTATCGATTTGTCAGTTTCCAGCTTAGGCGTTTTCCTTCAAGTCATATGCGTGCAAATGAGAAAAAACATACTAATTATTCCAGTGTGATTATTTTTGTTTTTCCAGGCTGTTTCCACCCCCCGAACAACCGGCCGTCTCTAACTTGGCTCTGCTGACATCAGATCCATTTGGCGACGCTCCCCATCTCCTGGGATTAGAGCCGAAAATCAAGACTGATTCTCCCTCGGTATCAGCGACGGATCCCAAGGAGCTCAAGGCCCTGCTCGACCCCCAGAAGAAGGTCGATTTGTCGCACAATTCAAAACTGAAGGTATTCCCTTTGAAAAGCGTCAGGGTAAGTTCGAATATTTTAAACTGACGAACGAATTCGTTCATTTTTAACGTAACCCTTTCAGGACAGTCTCTTTGAGGGCTTGTCCCCAAAATTTAAGGAAGACGGCAACAACTCTCCCGACTACGTCAAGACGAACTGTCGCCGATTGGTGTTGAAACAGCGACCGAATATGAGCGGAGAAGGGAATTCTCCGGGTCTGATGCGAACGGACATCCTGAAGCACTTATTTTCGCCTGACGAGAACAGCAACTCAGAGAATAACAGGATCGAATCTGCCGTGCAAAACGACCTGAGGACGACGCCTTTACGACTGACCTTCGATAATACGATTAACGAAACGAAAAACGCTTCCGTTCAATCGTCGACGCATAAAGCAGTTGTTCATAGCGTCGACAAAAACACTGGGCCAGGTACTTAACCCGGTTAAAAATAACGTTTATCGTTTACTCACCTTTACGTTTCAGATCATAAAAGTGTGTATTCCGCGGCGTTCGATGACGAGGAGGAACCTGTTAACTTCGCGGGTGGTGGCGACACCTCGAAGACCTACCCTTGCGGCATCGTATGCACCAGGCCCGAGTACTACACCTTGCCCGCTTTGGAGGAACTCGGCCAGTACGTCGACGAGAACGGTGCCTGCATAGTCAAAGGTTTCACGATCGGCAGGAGGGGCTACGGTAACGTCTACTTTCCCGACGAGCTGGACGTGGCGGGGCTCAACATCGACGAATTGGTTCACTTTCGGTACAGGGAGATCAACGTCTACCCTGACGATTCTAAGAAACCGCCAGTCGGTCAGGTAAGAATCAAAAACGCACTTACGTTTTCCGTTCCGGTATTTTATTCTTTATTTTTCAGGGTTTGAACCGTAAGGCGCAGGTGACCCTGGATAACGTGTACCCCCGTCGGGCAGACACCAACACGTTGATAAAAGATGTCCAGGAGCTTTTGCAGATGAATTTCGCCGAGAAGCTGAGGAAGATCACCGTCAAGAAGGGGGCTAAGTTCGTGGATTTCCGGCCCGAGACGGGTTCCTGGGTGTTCAAAGTCGACCACTTCTCCAGATATGGCTTCAACGACAGCGATGAGGAGGCCGAGGCCAACGACAAGGAGGCACAGAAGAAGAAAAACGAGGAGGGCAAGAAAGTGGAAGGTGGCGCCAAAGAGGGCGGGGAGGTTCCCCCCAAAGTGGACCAGCAGAAGAAGAAGGATGACGGCGGCAAGGAAATTCAGGTGAGTTTCGTACATATGTTGGATTGAGTTCTGGAAAGAGTTTCGGCTAAACAATTTTAAAAAGAATATAGTACTACGTTTATTTTAAATATTCCACGTCTTCTTTTCAGTTATTATGTAAACTATCTTTGTTCTCATTTGTACAGGGTGTTACTACTAGGTATGGTACATAACCTCAAAGTGAGGTTATACTTATACAGAGGTTATCAGTAATAAGGATTATCATCAAGTTTTCTCAAATTCTTACCCTAAAATTGAATTTTTTGTAACCTTTTTGTCCTAATTTTCATACACCGCCGCTGAATAGGCTAATATAACCTCAAAAAAAAGAAAAAATTAAATGGAATGACATAAAGATTATTTAAAAATCCTACAAAAAAGGACTCTTGTTTCCAAATCGATGACATCAACTATTTTGGATAATAAACGAAGTTGTTTTGGGACAATCCTAAAAGTAGTTCAAATGCACTTTTGCGCTATAAATAAAATGTACAAGACAATTTAATTTTATACAGTTGTAAGTTATTAAAATCTTCAAAAAATAATTTAATTTGTATTAGTAATAATTTACTTGAATTTAATATTAAGCTGTTTATTTTTTTTTTTTTAATGTGAGCGATTACGGCCAGTATTTTAGCAAATAAAGGTCACTAAATTCTTTTACCACTTTAAAATCTTAAGGATTTTGTTTTTTGTAGGTGCAATTTTTTTTACCAGTAATAAGTCTACCAAAAATAGGCTAATATAACCTCAAAAAAGAAGAAAAAATTAAACGGCGTAACGTAAAGATTATTTAAAAATCCTACACAAAAAGGACTCTTGTTTCCAAATCGATAACATCAACTATTTTGGATAATAAATGAAGTTGTTTTGGGACAATCCTAAAAGTAGTTCAAATGTACTTTTGCGCTATAAGTGAAATGTACAAGACAATTTAATTTTATACAGTTGTAAGTTATTAAAATCTTCAAAAAATAATCTTTAATTTGTATTGGTAATAATTTACTTGAATTTAATATTAAGCTGTTTATTTTTTTTTAAATTGACCGATTACGGCCAGTATTTTAGCAAATAAAGGTCACTAAATTCTTTTACCACTTTAAAATCTTGAGGATTTTGTTTTTCGTAGGTGCAATTTTTTTTACCAGTAATAAGTCTACCAAAAATAGGCTAATATAACCTCAAAAAAAAAAGAAAAAATTAAACGGCGTAACGTAAAGATTATTTAATCTACTACACAAAAAGTACTCTTGTTTCCAAATCGATAACATCAACTATTTTAGATAATAAACGAAGTTGTTTTGGGACAATCCTAAAAGTAGTTCAAATTTACTTTTGCGCTATAAGTGAAATGTACAAGACAATTTAATTTTATACAGTTGTAAATTATTAAAATCTTCAAAAAATGTAGTATGTATGGGTAATAATTTACTTGAATTTAATATTAAGCTGTTTATTTTTTTTTAAAGTGAGCGATTACGGCCAGTATTTTAGCAAATAAAGGTCACTTCTTTTACCACTTTAAAATCTTGAGGATTTTGTTTTTCGTAGGTGCAGTTTTTTTTACCAGTAATAAGTCTACCAAAAATAGGCTAATATAACCTCAAAAAAAAAAAAGAAAAAATTAAACGGCGTAACGTAAAGATTATTTAAAAATCCTACACAAAAAGGACTTTTGTTTCCAAATTGATAACATCAACTATTTTGGATAATAAACAAAGCTGTTTTGGGACAATCCTAAAAAGTAGTTCAAATGTACTTTTTTGCGCTATAAGTAAAACGTACAAGAAAATTAAATTTTATGCAGTTATAAGTTATTAAAATCTCCAAATAATCTTTAATTTGTATTTGTAATAATTTACTTGAATTTAATATTAAGCTGTTTAATTTTTTTTAAAACTGACCCATTACGGCCAATATTTTAGCAAATTAAGACCACTAAAGTCTTTTACCACTTTAAAATCTTGATGATTTTGTTTTTCGTAGGTGCAGTTTCTTTTACCAGTTATAAGTCTACCAAATTTGAAAATAATTGCATATCAAAAAAAAATAGCAAAATATTAGTTTAAAAAAATATTAACTTTTCGAACAAAAAAAAATACTTTCGGGCAATAATTTCCCATTTACTTTATTTCTAGGCCAGACTGAGCATGGACATGGACATCTTCGTGGAGGACGGCGACCACTTCAATCCTGAAGACGACCTCCTGCCGCAGTCCATGTACGGCGACAACGTTTCGGAGGACGATTATCACGTAGTGCCCCAGGGCGTGCCCCTACACTTACCATATTACGACCCGTCCAGTAGGTCGACCAGCAGGAGCATACAAATCATGAAATCGACGTTATTTGACGACGACAGATCCTCCGACGCCGGAAGCCACATACCCGTCATGAAGTCGTACCTGGACCTGACGGAGGACATCCGGCAGTTGCCCGTCATACGAGAAGAAGTGTTACCCAAGAAGAAGACGGTGTTGAGGCCTAGGGTGGACAAGGTCTACAATTTCGTAGGTGAGTATTATTTTTTTTGAGTTCAAGGCGATGGAAATTAATATTAATTTCTCAACAGGTGCCGAAGTCGCTCCCAGCATAATCCCGTCTAGGACTTATATGGATCTCGGTATGTTTAAAGGCAAATCGTTTAGGGTAGGCTGGGCTCGCGGTTTCGATTTTTTTGGACCAAACGCAGATCTTGACGGAAACAACGCTGAACTGTGCCGGAACACCATCGATATCGGTGTCTACTCCAAGGACTTCGATCCTTTAAAGGTACGGGTTTTACTGAAAGTAAAAACGTCGATTATTCAAATTTTTCGTTGCAGGAATTCCTCTCGGACGCTTTGGAGGTCGTTCTGGAAGAGAGCGCTTGCGAACTGGACGAAAAGCTCATCCCGACCTTTCAGATCCGCAACGGCGACTCGTACTTGAGGAAGCAGGCGAAGCTGTTCTCGAAACTTGCCGCAAAGTACAGCGCCATGGAGAGTCGTTACTCGTACAGCATCTGGACGTTGGCAGAGGCGCTTTGGGGCCCCGGCGAGAACACCGTCTCCAATCGGAGGCACCTGCTTAGCGAGTGGTAAGTTTACTGTCTTCATCGTGAAAGCGAAGAAAAGCGAATTGAAACTTGAAATTTTGAGTTTAAACTATGAAATCTTGATTTGAACTTGAAATTTTAGGTTTGAGTTAAAATTTCAAGTTCAATTTCGAAATTTCAAGTTTATATTTGAATTTTTAAGTCTAATTTCGAATTTGATATTTTGTGTCTCCAATCAGATACACTTGGTTAGTGAATGGTACATTTTCTTCGTTATGAAAGTATACCTTTTTTATTTACAAAATTTCGAATTCAAACTCCAAATCTCAAGTTTGAGTTAAAATTTGAATTTTTGTTTAAGAACCTTAGATTTCAAGTTTTAAATTTAAAATTTAAAATTTCGTGTTACCTAAAATTTCAAGTTCGATCTCAAAATTTCAAGTTCATACTTAAAAATGCAAACTAGAAATTTTGCGTTTAAAACTGAAACAAGTTTGAACCAGGAACTTTTGAGTTTGAATTTAAAATTTAGAAAACTAAAATTTTGCGTTTAAAACTCGAAATTTTAAGTGAACTTGAAATTTAAGTTTGAAATTCGAAATTTCGAGTTTGAAACACTTTTTATTAACCAAATTACAAATTCATACATTTTGTGACAAAGTAGAAGTTTGTTAAAATTTGAAAATTCATGTTGAAACCCAAAATTTCGTTTAAAAATGAACTTGAAATTTCACATTTAAAACTCGAAATTTTAAAAGTAAACTTGAAATTTCAAGTTTGAAATATGAAATTTCTAATTTGAAACACTTTTTATTAACAAAATTACAAATTAATACATACATTTGTTAGCATAGAAATTTCGAGTTTGAGTTAAACTTTGAAAATTCATGTTGAAACCCAAAATTTCGTTTTTCAAATTTGAAGTTTAAAAAATGAACTTGAAATTTCACATTTAAAACTCGAAATTTTAAAAGTAAACTTGAAATTTCAAGTTTGAAATATGAAATTTCTACTTTGAAACACTTTTTATTAACAAAATTGCAAATTCATACATACATTTGTTAGCATAGAAATTTCGAGTTTGAGTTAAAGTTTGAAAATTCATGTTGAAACCCATAATTTCGTTTTTCAAACTTGAAATTTAAAAACTGAACTTTGAAATTTCAAGTTTGAAATGCGAAATTTCGAGTTTGAAACACATTTTATTAACCAAATTACAAAGTCATACATTTTGTGTCGCAGTAGAAATATCGAGTTTGTGTTAAAATTTGAAAATTCATGTTGAAACCCAAAATTTCATATTTCAAACTTTAAATTTTGAAAGTGGACTTGAAATTTCAAGTTTGAAATGCGAAATTTCGAGTTTGACACATTTTATTAACCAGATTACAAAGTCATACATTTTGTGTCACAGTAGAAATATCGAGTTTGTGTTAAAATTTGAAAATTCATGTTGAAACCCAAAATTTCGTTTTTCAAACTTGAAATTTTGAATTTAAACTAGGAAATTTTGAGATTGAAACGGGGAATCTTGATTTGAACTTGAAATTTAGAACATTTAAAATTTCATACAAATAACTAAAATTTCACATTTGAAACTTGAAATTTTAAAAGCGAACTTGAAATTTCAAGTTTGAAATGCGAAATTTCGAATTTGAAACACTTTTAATTAACCAAATTACAAATTCATACATTTTGTGTTAAAGTAAAAATTTCAAGTTTGTGTTAAAATTTGAAAACTCGTGTTGAAACCCAATATTTCATGTATTACAACCAAAGTTTCGTTTTTTAAACTAAAATTTCACGTTTGAAACACAAAATTTTAAAAGTGAACTTGAAATTTAAAGTTTTAAATATGAAATTTCCAGTTTGAAACACTTTTTATTAACCAAATTACAAATTCATATATACATTTTGTGTCAAAGTAAAAATTTCAAATTTTAAGTTAAAATTTTAAATTTCATATTTAAAACTATAATTTTGTTTTTCAAACTTGAAAGTCACCTTAAAAATCGCCCGTTTTTTCACAATTCGCAGAGAACTAAAGAAAATAGATAAGAATATGTTTTTGGTCTCAAATTACTCGCCGTAAAAATTAAGATGAGCATAGCTTTTAGTGTTTTGAAAATTTTCAAAAATCACCCCTATTTAAGGGTTGAAAAGACGCCCAAAATGAAGAATTGAATATTACCAATAAATATAAAAACTATTAGTATGTGAATTTTTCTATCCAATGATTCTTGATACAAAGAAAGATTTATTCTCATGATTGAAATAAGCATGTTGAATTAGAAAATTCACCCTTAAGCGCGCTCAGGGGGTGGAATCATCCCCAACAATAGATAATATCAGAAATAATTGTACAGATTCCAAAAAATATATATTCACATGCTAATGATTTTATATCAATTGGTAATATTCAAATTTTTCATTTTTGGCATTTTTTCAACCCCGAAGTAGGGGTGATTTCTAAAATTTTCAAATTAATAAAACCTGTGCTCATTTCAGTTTTTTACAAGTAATTTGCCACCAAAAACATATTTTTATGTATTTTTCTTAATTCTCTGCGAATTGTGAAAAAATTGACGAAAATCACAGGTTTTTTTGCAGTCACTCTTTTATTTATGTTTGAAATTTGTAATTTTGAGTATGCAATTAGGGACACGTCCTGATAAATGTTTTAAAAATGTCAAGTTTGTTTACGAAATTTCCGGTTCAAATTCATGTTGAAACTTGAAATCTTAAATATGAAGTCATGTGAGCAGAAATAAGGATAAACGATATATGGCATTTCTGCGCCTTCTTCATAAACACATTTCTTAACCATTAAACGTAAAAAACTTGATATTTTAATTCCAGGCTAAAGTTAAACACAAACTATGACGATCTAGCCACGACGACGACAACACCAAAACGTCTCTTCAACCAACTGTCCGTTTTCAAGATACCCGAAGCCGCTAACCTCGCCATGGACGAACACATGCCCAGCCTTTCGCTGATCATCTCGCAACTGAGTTTGACCAACAGTACCAAACTCTTCCTTCAGGAACAGATCGAGGGGTGGTACACCTCGATGGCGGCCAACCACATCAGCGACGACATGAAACGCATTTACCTCCTCCTGTCCGGCATACCCGTCAAGGAAGGCATCAACGTTTTCGAGGACGTCGACTGGAAACGTGCCTTCGGGATGCACCTGTGGTACGTTTGTCCTGTTGGCGCTCCCGTTCAGGTAGCCATCGAGCTGTACGAGCGTGCGTTCGAGAACAAGGGATACGCCGACCTTCCAAATCCGCCGTACAGAAGCGGTTACCGGGAGGAAAACACGTTCGACGTGATTTACCACGTTTTGAAGCTGTACAAGACGAGGGTGCACAGGTTGAGCAGCGTTCTGAATCCGGCGACGCACACGGACGATCCCCTGGATTACAGACTAAGGTAACAGCGTTTAGAATCGTTTTTAGTGAGATTATAACCGTAACATTTCAGCTGGTTGCTGCTGCAACTGTTCCTGTCGCTGGACGTGGGCTTAATAGAAGACGCGGAGATAACGAAGCTCTGCACGAGCTTTTCCAACCAACTGGAGTCGTTGGGCAAGTGGGAGTGGGCGATTTTCGTCCTGCTGTACCTGAAAGACAACGCCCTGAAACGGAACCTCGTAACGGCCATCCTCGACAGGAACCTGTCCGCCGAAACCGACAGGAAAACGTTGGACTCGCAAAGCGATCTGGTGAACAGGATGCGGCTGCCGCCCGAATGGATCCACGGCGTCAAAGCTGAGAAATCCCTGCTGCTCCAACGGCACTTCCACGCTTTCAACCACTTCGCCCACGCTCGGAACTACGGCAAGGCCAACGACGTCCTCGTGCAGCACCTACTCCCCGGCCTGTTCATAAACGAGCAGTACGACGTCATCAGGATCCTCATAGCCGCCGTTGAACCGGGATCCGGGGAGATCCTCCGTTGGGCCAACGACGTGGCTTTGTTCTCCGATTTCCTGTCGCTGCAGGAGGACGTTATAACGTTCAGACCAGAGGATCTCCTCAAGCTGCAGATGAGGCTGCAGTCGATCGGGGATCGCGTGGCGACGTTCGACGCACGTACCGACCAGCAGAAGCTGTGCGTCGCCGAGATGTCCAAGCGGTGCGCCTCCGTCTACAAGGAACTTTTCAGGAAGTCCAGGACGGGACTGTTGGGGAGCTCCTACTCGGATTTCGTGGAGGGCCTGGTGATGCCGCCGGACTACAAGCAGGACGAGGCGCTGTTCCTCATCAAGGAGTCCAATAACGTTATGTGTTGAGGTTAATAGTGATAAGTGCCTGAATTGATGTCGAAAACGTGCCACGGAGGCCGAGTGTTAGAAACGATTTGTATCGAAGGTAAGTGCTAATTTCGCGGCGATGAATTTGACCAAAGTGAAATGTGGTGTGAGATATTCGGTAAAATATGAATATTTCATGTACGCTTTGAGTTGACCCTAAAAATTATTTTGAGTTTTTTGAGAAATTCACAGTTTAAGATCAGGAGCCACGGTTTTCGTAGCTGAAGGATATTTGAAAATTCGCCTTGAAAAATAAAATATTGTATTATTATGGTGTTGCTTTGTACTATCTTGTATTTGTAAGTAAAAATGTAGTATTAAGTATATGTACGTTAAGGGGGCTCTACAACAAATAGGCAACCAGCAATACATTTTTAGAGATTTTATTGCACAGTTTGTCTAAATATGAATCGATGCACAAATAACAGACTTTCCCCCATTCAATCGCAGATTTTCTATAGAATGGACTTAGTTTGAAACACAAATTACTTTTTGTTGTAGAGGAATTTGTAATTTGTACCGTAAATTACAAATTTCTTTACACCGAAAAGTAATTTGAGTTTCAAACCAAGTCCATTTTATAGAAAATCTGCGCTAGAATGGAGGAAAGTCCGTTATTTGCGCGTTGATTCATATTTAGAAAAGCTGTGTAATAAAATCTATAAAAAGTCGGCTATTTCCTATAGAGCCCTCTTAATTTTATTTTATTTGTTTTATCATTATTTTTTAAGGCCATTTGTTACTCGATAATTATATTGTGGAAAATACTTTGTCAATTATTTTTTTCAATAAACACATTTTTGTTTCAAAGTGTATAATTGAAATTTTGTACTATTTAACCATAATTATACTTGTCTCCTAAACCGTTTTTCACTTCATAGTCTCTTGATACCAAAATTTTATTTTACGTGAATATATTTAGTAAAACCACATATTTTCATATAAATCGGGGACTACTCTGTATGTGCACAACATATTTAAATCGTTACTTGCAGTTTTGAATAATTATCAAGGATTTTTTTTAAAATCAACTCTCCCCGTTGTTTCACGATCGCCATCTACCGGTCAGTAGCTATAATAAACGATTTCCTACTTTTAGGAAACTATCATAATTAATAGATTGTATTAACTTCATAGTGGATAGATGGCGCCACCTACTACAAAATACTGGCGCCAAAATTTGAAGATAGAAAGAAATTGAGGACACAAATACAACATAATTTTACTACTTTTTATTAAGAAAAATGTTACATGCAGTTATATTAATTATTATAGCACCAAATGTACATTAATTATTTTAAATTTAGTAACTTTTTGTATTCATTGACCTCCTTGAGCGTTTCAGAGATTTCCTCTGTCCTGTAACAAATAAAAACATATTACGTCTTAAACGCCAGTTCTACTGAAAAATAGTGTCGAGCAACAAAGTTACTTCTGCGAAATGTCACTGTCATTCATCGGCGTTCTTTGACTTTTCGCTTTCATGTTGTTCGCTTCGTCAGGCTGAAAGGATAAGGTTGAGGAGAGCAGCGAAATGCAAAAGACATTCAGCAAAGTTTCGCGTGGAAGTAACTTTGCAGTACAATAAAAATTCCAAATAAAGGTCTAAAAATAATAAACTATAAATGCATCATAACCTAATAGTGTATATATGGGGCATTCCACGCCAAATCGGACAGTTCGAAAAATTTAAATTTGTGATTTCCTTAATTTTTTTATATTTTTTAGTACCCCTCAAAAAATCATTTCTGGTAAATTGTGAGATTTTTTTAATTACTTGTTCAAAAGTTATAAAATTTTCAAGAAAAACGCTCTTTTTAGTTTTTTGATCATAACTTTCTTAATAATGGTCCAAATTAAAGCTTTTTTTATAAAAATCTTTGTTTTCAGATGGCCTTTACAGATAAAAATGCAAAAAAATTATTCAAAGTGTTTTTGATTAAGATTTTTGAGTTTGAAATTTAAATCGTATTTTTGAAAGTGAGTGTATCTTTCGATTTTTGTGAAAATATTTTATTTCAAACTACTATTCTTTTAACAACTTTTAGGACCGGTCCGGTCGTGGGCCCTCCATAATTACTATTTTTTTTTTTGATTTTTGAAAATTAAAAAAAATTCACTATAAATAAGTACTGATTTTTGTCTCTTTTTACTTATTTTAAATTAATTTGAATACTTTTTAATTATTAATAGGTGTTTAAAATCAATAATTAAACGTCTATTTATAAACAATTATAACAAACGTTTTTATTTATTTTCGTGTTCTTCTAAAAATTATTTAAAAATTATTTTATCAATGCTATTTTTTGTTGCAAAGTATTTTTTTATTTAAACAATAGTATCTTTATGAATTTCTATCAAATTTAAAAAGAGTCGCACATCTTATGAATATTGCTGTCAAATTTTCAGCTGAGAAATACTATTTAGATGCAAGAAATATTAGATTTGCGTTACAATACAGCCAAACCCAAACAAACCCAAAATTTCATTCAATCATTCCAAGGCACAAAATATTATTTTGTAAACTAGAATTTCCATAGCTCCTTGGAAAGATTGAATGAAATTTTTGGGTCCCAATGATTGACTTAGCTATATTGTATCGCAAATTTAATTTTTCTTTTGCATCTAAATAGTGTTTCTCAGGTGAAAATTTGACATCAATAATAATCATAAGATGTGCGACTCTTTTTAAATTGAATAGAAATTCATAGAGATACTATTATTTAAATAAAAAAAATACTTTGCAACAAAAAATAGCATTGATAAAATAATTTTGAAACAATTTTTAAAAGAACACGAAAATAAATAAGAACGTTTGTTATCATTGTTTATAAATAGACAACGATTTACTTATTGATTTTAAACACCTATTAATAATTAAAAAGTATTCAAATTAATTTAAAATAAGTAAAAAAAGTAAACAAAAATCGGTACTTATAATGATTTATACAGAAAACTTTTTTTTTTTAATTTCAAAAATAAAAAAAAATAGTAATTATGGAGGGCCCATGACCGGACCGGTCCTAAAAGTTGTTAAAAGAATAGTAGTTTGAAATAAAAAATTTTCACAAAAATCGAAAGATACACTCACTTTCAAAAACACGATTTAAAATTTCAAACTTAAAAATCTTAATCAAAAACACTGAATATTTATTTCTTTTGTATTTTTATCTGTAAAGCCCATATAAAAACAAATATTTTTATAAAAAAAAAGCTTTAATTTGTACCATTATTAAGAAAGTTATGATCAAAAAACCAAAAAAAGAGCGTTTTTTTGAAAATTTTATATCTTTTGAACAAGTAATCAAAAAAATCTGAAAATTTACCAGAAAGGCTTTTTTGAGGGGTACTAAAAAATATAGAAAAATTAAGGAAATCGAAAATTTAAATTTTTCGAACCGTCCGATTTGGCGTGGAACGCCCCATATACAGAGCCAAGTCTTGTGACACAACAAGGTACGAAAATGCCCTAAATCTTAGCATATTAATGATTCGTTTACAATGAACAATGACGAACCGTTACGTTTGCGCTTGAGAGATAATGCGGTCGCTGATTAGTTGAACAAAATCTCGTGAAAAATCACACCAATCGGCGATTGCATTATCTCTCATGTGTAAATGTAACTGTTCGTCATTGTTCATTGTAAACAAGTCATTAATATTGGTGATGCCAAGATTTAGGGAATTTCCGTGTAATGTTGGGTAAGTTTGACGGTCGCGTAGCTTGTATTGTATAAAAGCTCAGTATACAGGGTGTTTCAGAGCTATCTCGACAGGCATTATCTCGGAAACTAGTCGAGATAGAAAGAAATGTTATATAGAAATAGTTTTTTGCTTAAAAAGATGCGTTTAATCATTTTATTTTCAAATATACAGGGTGACCCAAAAAGATGGTATATTGCGGAGCTTCAATTTTTTAAATGGAACACCCTGTATATTCGTAAGTTTTTGGGTTCTTTTTATATTACGATGAATTTATCGAGGCAAAACGTCTGAATCTGGGTCGGGCTGAGACAGTACAGTATTGGGGGTCATGAAGGCTTGAAAAAAATGTAATAAAATTTTCAGGGTCGTATTTAAAATAGTGTTGATAACAAGTTGATGATGGTTATGGAAAGATGAAACGTTGCATATAAAAATTGAATTTGTAACAGCCTGTATACAGTGTGTTTCGCTAATAGTTGAGGAAAATGAAGGGTGTGATTCTTTGCCTCATTTTAAGAAAAAAAGTTGTTATTAACATGGATCCGCAATAAAACATTGGCGGATTAAAATAGGCTTTCAAAATGCCAATTTTCCCAGTCGTAAAAATTGTTGCCAAAAGAACCCGACGCAATCCTAAAATTTCCGCCACTGTCATAAGAATAAAAATTAAATTAGCGCTCAAAAGTAGTAAAAATCAATGACAATACGTGTACGAAATTTAAATTCTATATCTGAAACGGTTCTGAGATATCATCAAAAACCCTCCGTAGTTGGATCGGATATTGGCGCATCTCACTGTAAACTAAAAAAAAATGCTCGGTCGTAAAATATTATCTACCTTTGGCCCACATCGGGGTCCCTGGGAGAACCTCTTCAAAAATGTCCTGTAGAAATTCCTCAAGCGCATCGGGCCTGTGTGGGGCTGTACGAATATCGAATATCCTCTGGCACTCCTCCATTCTGGTGCTCGACGATGGAAAAACTGTTGTCTCTAGAGAACTTATCCATACCCCTTCTCCATGGATAAAGTCCTGGATGACGTCTATGACCTCCCTACGGGAGAATTTCTTTATCTGAAATACAACGAAATATCTTCCACATTTTCTGGAAGAAGGACTTCGGTGGCCATTTGACTTATGCATTAAAGTACGTATTATTTACAACAAAAAATATGAATTCATTTGAAAAAAATCGTTTTATGTCAAATTAACTAAAAACGAGCCGCAACTTCAAAGTTTATTTTCTCACTAAGTTTATCAGTAAAGGCAGGACAGAAATTTTTATTAAAATTTCAATACACAATCAATTAAAATTAACTAAAACTGAAGAAGTTTGCAACATGTTGTTTTGAAGTCGCCATATTTTTTGGTGTCAACGTGGACAAAAGAACTTGAATATTTTCAACGATCTTTTAAAAAATCTATATTTTTTCAATGTTTCGTTAAATATTAACTAATACTGTTAAATAATATAAAAATTGAATCGCCAATTATCACGTGTCTTAAAATTTTGTTTAAAAAAAATATCATTATTTTTAGGTAGATTTCATCAATCTTTAGTTATAGTGTTTATGAAGATAGTTGAAACCGTATAAAAACTAAAAGTCGGCATCTCTTTATTGTTTCCGGACTGCCTGGGCACAACAAAGAGATGCCAACTTGCACAATAAAGAGATGTCGACTTTTAGTTTTTATACGGTTTCAATTGTCTTCGTAAACACTATACCAAAATACACAGAAAATTATGTATTGTATTGTATGATTTCAAATTTTATAAAAATCATAGGTTCTTTCAATATCCATTAATGAAAAACAAGTGAAATCAAGCATAAAGGCCGTGTTCTTTTGTACTTTTATTCATCATTTCGATGTGATGGATTCCATAGAGCTAATAAGAGATCAGAATTTTTTAAACAGACCAATCGTAATACATCGATGGAATTCATAACAATAAAACGAGGAATAAAAGAACAAGGCCAAATTGAAAAATTCGATGAGTTGCAGGAGATTTTCCGAGCATTGCAAATGTTGAAAGATTTAAGAATTAATTTAAGAATTTGAGCGAATACAGGAAGAATAATAACAGTACCATTAATTAAAAAAATAAACACGTTCTTAGAGAAGTAAAAGTATAATAAAAACTCTGGCTGTAACTTACTTTAAATTCTAGTAGGAAGCCCCAAGAATTTTACAAACATAAAAGAAAACAACACATTTCGGTTCGATACCCAATCATTATTAGTTTTAAAACTTCTAAACAAGAGTATTATACCTTCTACCTCAAGCGCCATCCCCTTATCCCCAACGGGACTGAAATTGTACGTAAACAGAAAAAATTAAAGTGAAGCCGACTAAAAAATCTAAAAAATAACGTCCTGTCACTATTTTGTTATTTTTGTTTGGTTATGTTTTGTTGCACGCAATAGCTGCATTTGTTTTAACACTTGGTTAGTTCAGTTTGGTCATATTGACCAAACTAGAAGTGACCGTGATTTGAACTAACTGTAGGTTAAATAAAACACACATCTACTCCATATTAAATTTTGACGTCTGTTCAATTTCAGTTTAATTAGGTTGTTGTTGTCAATCATACTGTGGCCAACATACTTACAATCAACATACACATCTTCATAGGATGAACACATATCCATTATCAACGGCTTATTTTTGTTATTTAGATTTATGATTATTATTATTTGTAGGTTATGTTTTGTTCGGTTATCTTGTTCACTTACTAACCACGATATTAGGCTAGGTTAGATCGGAAAGGGGGGTCATATTTTGGTTTGTTCACTTGTTTAAAAAAAACGAACTTGGTCAGAACTGTACTGAAAATGGATTAACAAAGTGACCAAGTGTGTAAAACAAATACTAGCGGTTGCCGGATCTAAACGCGTTGTGATCCTAAAATCACGTTCGTAGCTGTTTTGTTATTTCCGGATCATGTCAGATCAATTATCAAGATCGGTAATCCCCTTTTCTCTTTTTTTCCCTGAGAAGGCAGTTACTATTTTTATATTATTTATGCACAAAAGAATAGATGTTTATAATCAAACGAAATGTCAACAGTAAACAAAATTCTGTTCTCTTCGAAATTGGATTCATGGATCTAGTTCGTGTTTATCTGATCCTGACTCAAGGTTGAGATGAAATGAAAGCGGTTTACGTATTCCATAATTTTCTGTATATAAGGTTGCATACACTTAGGGAATTTATAGGTAGTGCTTTCACTTTATGCCGGTAGATGGTGCAACTTACGATAAAAAAAATTGTTCAAATTTTGAAATGATTTTGGCTTTATGCCAATGTCAAGTATGATTTTTATTCGCCTGAAACTTTTATTAAATATGAATTTTGGATATTTTTAATTATATTGGTAGAATAATAGTTGTCGATGATGTATATCACTTAGTTCCACCGAGTGAAAAAAAAAATGGGCCCAAAACAAACAAAAAAAAAAAAATTTGATTTTTACTTCTACTCGATCGTGAATAACTTTTGAAGGAGTAAATTTATGCAAAAATGTTAAGAGACCTTTTTTGTAGAGCATTAAATTTCCTTTGAAATTCTGTATTGTTAATTCTTTAGATACAATTTTATTTTCCCAATCCTAATATTCACGTTTGATGAAAACCTATCACTGTTTTATCTATCTGTTTATTTATTTATCTTTTTTTTTTTTTTTAAAAAAACTGAAATTTTTTATAAATCCTCAAATTTTTTCAGTGGTTCTTTTGATTTCTATTTTTTTAACGAATGAAAAAAAAATTATTTTTCAAAATTAGCTTATTTCACATACCATTTTGAAAATTTTTGAAAATGTAAGTATATACAATCCCAAAATTGAAAAGAAATATATGAAAGAAATAACTGAAAAAAATTTCGATTTTTTTTGAAAAAGTTAAGAAAAAAATAGATCCTTTTAAATAATTCTTTGTATTTTTTTCAAAAACTACATCCAAAAAAAGAAAATGAAAAAAGTTTCTATTTGGTCCATTTTTGGCATTTTTGGATGAACGGTGGGCTTTAAAAAAAGACATGCAACACATTTGAACTCAAATAAATTATTTTGAAACCATCCTCTTTTGACTTTTTGAAATTGTCATCAGCTGTATAGAACAAATTTTTTCAATTTTGGGATTCTATATACATTTTCAAAAATTTTCAAAATGGTAGGTGAAATAAGCTAAATTCGAAAATTTTTTTTTCAATAAAAAAATAGAAAACAAAAAAACCACTGAAAAAATTTCAGGATTCATAAAAAATGTGTTTTTTTATAAGAAGAAAAAAGAATTAAAAAATGGTAATCATCGAGAAATTTTAGTTTTTTTTTTTCGAAAATTGAAAAAAACCGTGAATAACCAGTCCGTGAACCGTCCAGATAATTTTGATCTATTTTTTTTCAAAAAGTACATGTAAAACCCAAAATTTTGAGAAAAAAACGTCCATATAACTCAATTTTTGAGTTATTTAAAAAAAAATCTCAAAAATTCATCTTTTTGAGTTGGGTGAAAAAATTCTGTTTTCAATGGGGTAGAAAACAATAAAAAAGTTTCAGCCAAATCGAAAGGGGTCAGGGTTAAAAATGGCCGATTTGGCCCAGACTTTTTTATTGTTTTCTACCCCTTTGAAAACCTTTCAGAATTTTTTCAAATTTTTCACCCAACTCAAAAAGTTATTAGTTTTTGAAAATAGTTTTTTTCAAAATTTTGGATTTTAGATGTACTTTTTGAAAAAAAATAGCTTTTTTTTAAATAACTAACTTTTTCAAAAATTAAGTTATCAGGATGTTTTTTTTTTTAAATTTTTGTTTTTAAATGTATTTTTGAAAAAAAATATATCAAAATTATTTAGACCTATCTTTTTTTTCAATTTTAGAAAAAAAAACGAAAATTTCTTGACATTTCTTTTTTATTTTTTTTTCTTATTAAAAACTGACATTTTTTATAAATCCCCATATTTTTTCAGGGTTTTTCTCGTTTTCTATTTTTTTTATTGATTCAAAAAATATTTTTTTTCAAATTTAGCTTATTCCACATAACAACATTTTTGAAAATGTATAAAGAATCTCAAAATTGAAAATAAAATATAGGAAAGAAATAATGGAAAAAAACGTCCCGATAACTCATTTTTTTAAATATCTATAACTTTTTCAAAAATTGAGTTATCGGGACATTTTTTTTCAAAATTTTGGTTTTTAGATGTACTTTTTGAAAAAAAATAGATCAAAATTATCTGGACCTATCCACTGTTTTTTTTAAATTTTCGAAAAAACAAAAATTTCTTGATGAATACCATTTTTGATTTGGCGTGGAATGCCCCATACAGAAGGATATATGGAAACAATTTCCAGGCCTCCTAAATCACCATATTTTGCTCCTGCTCTGTGTCGTTTCTTATGCGAAACACCCTGTATTACCACTGAAACCATAAAACATGTGTGATGTCTGATGCATTATGAAGGAATCAATTTTGTGGTAATTTTGACAGCTGAAGTCTAAAAATCCCTTTGTGACGTGTTTCGCATCAAATCACAGAGACGCAGTTAATAGAAACATGATTTTTATTACATACAAAAAGCAAACATTAAAATTTAGTTTTGTACTCAACATACAAAGAATGGAAAACAGAGACATTCACTTCGAGAAACAAAAATCAAATACTTCACGTTTTAACAAATTAAGCTACGATCAAATGCAACATCTTCCAACTGTATCACCGCCGAAACCGTAAAAAATCTGTGATGTCTGACGGGGTACACCTTCAACTGGAATGTACGCGCGATTCGAACTAGAAAAAAAATCATGAAACGACACTAAATGAATTAATAATGAAAGCCGAGTGAACGTCGCCACCTCGGCCCGTGCTCCTCGATGGACGTCATGACGACGACGACAAGCTGCAACATCCGATCCAATAAATAATAATCTTTGGGGGGGCCGCCCGGGGCAAATCCTATCCTAGGGACGAAAGTCGCAGACGGCCTCGCGTCGGACGGGGCCCCGGACGCGAAACACAAACAACTACGGCTATTTGGCTAGGAGTCTTAGTCATCATTGGGACTTGGACTCCTCGCTGTAGTCGTCGCTGCTCGAACGGATGTCCCCCTCCATCTGACCGGCCTTCAGCGAGTTGTACGCTATCTTCAACAGCAGGTAGGTCCAGAAGCAGTGCAGCACCAGCAGCAGGATCAGCAGGCTGTTGAAGATGTAGTAGGCGGGGAACATGGGCACGACCTTCGGGGCGTCGATCGATGTGCTGCAAAAATCGGCGTGCTTCGTGAGACGGGTTCGGGGTTCCGTTCTTTATGGATATGGAGGGGGATTCTGGAACGGGAACTCGCGGCGGCGGAGGAGAGGAATGATGGGATATAAAATGTATATCATCCCGTTAGATGCGATAAGAGCAAAACGGAAAGAGCAAAAAGGAAACCGCAAGAGCGGTTAATTTTTTCCAATGTCGCACAATTTTTTTTTTACAACATGATGCTCAGCTTGATCAAGTCTGTTAGTAATTTTTATCAGCACTGCCGTCGAAAATACTTTCAAATTATTTCCAATTTTAAAATTTGTGATATTAACGATTAAAACTTTAATTTTTCTAGTGGGATCGTACTAGGATGGAACGAAATGAGGTCGAGTTTGGGCGAGCTTAAGAATTACAAAAAAAATCCATCCACTTACTTGCGAATTATCCAGAACGGATAGATCACCAGCCTGGTCAGGATCCAAAGGACGGTGAGAATAGCGAAAATGGCGTCGCACAATTTCTGATACCCGGCATACTTCGCCATCTTTGCGCCCTAAAACAAACAAGCAATCGACTCGTTTGATGAAAAAAAGTGACGCTAACTCACCTCTAAGAATATGTCGGCGCTGTCGTGCACCACCAGGACGAGGCAGCCTATGCGGAAGACGTTGACCATCCAGGAGAGGGACATCAGGAGTATGGCGGCGATGTGGTGGATGAACATCTGCCAGAAGTCTTTCCGCCTAACGTCAAAGAACTGGCTGACGCACAGGGACCAGTAGAAGGATAACGAGACCATGTAGTACCACCAGATGTCGCTGGTCACCGATTGGTGCGGAAACCCATTCCTGAAAATAACGAATCTAGTTTGAGCCCGACTTAATCATGGTTGTGTTGTACTTGACCAATAATTTTAAAGTAATTGTCACAATTTATACAGGGTGTTCTCAAAGTTGAGTTATTTATTTTAACAGCCAGTAGAAGTCATAAAAAAAATTCGATGTGTCGTTTTCGACAATTTCTAAAATTTCTTCCTCGATCTCCATCATTTCGCGTGGAGAAGGTCTTCCAGTGAAATCTCCTCGTTGTTCCTTTAAATACCGTGTGTCGCGGAGTCGTATAACTAAATTTACAAACATCCGCGGAGCCGAATGATTTCGTGAAGGAAACCTTTCCGCGTACAAGCGACATGCTGTGGCTGCATTTTGTTGACACTCCCCGTAAGTTGACATTATGTCCACTAGTTCATTGTTTTCATAAACATGTGCCATTTTTATTGCGCAAAGCAACAGCAAATCGATAATGATATTACGCACTACTGTACGAATTATTTAGCACTGTCAAATCGAAAAGCGTACTGAAAACCGTGCAACTACAAAAAAAAGAGAGACCCAGTATCAGTAGTACACAAACAATTTATATTTTTACAACGAAGTGGTCGAAAATGACAATAAATCAGGTTTGTATTATAAAGTTTTTAAATTTCATTTTTTTTTTAATAATTGTTAATTGCTTCATTTGACAACTTATATATAACGATTTTTGGTAAATTTTGGTGTGAAATTTTCTTGCCGAAAACCGCACATGCGGAAATTATTCTGGGAAATTTTTTCTTAGTTACGAATATTTTTAAATAATTATCTCTCGTCTTCGACTCAGGATTTTTAAAGTATCCATGACCTTGAAAAAGTTTCCGGATATAATTTATGGACTAGCGACATTATAAGTGACAATTCATCGAGTCAAAAATAAATAAATGTAGAACAAGTTTTACATTTACCACATCACACAATAAATCGGTCAAGAAATCGTTACACTGTACTCCCGTAGAACGTGTTACAATAAATTGGCCTATTTATTGGCTAAATTTAAGGCTACCAACTTTTAGGATAAAAATTATCATTACAAGTTTGGACATTTTTATTTCATCAAGAATTAAAAAATGTAGCAGGTTTACGGTTAAGAAATTGTTACGATTCACTATTTCCATGATTAGGTTTTACTTGTTACAATAAATCGGCTGGCTAAACAAAATAAAACTGGTTTTGTGTAAGTCACTTTTCTCTGAAAATTGAGTTACATATTGAAGGTGTCTTCTTAAAGTTGAAACTTATGAAACGCTTTATCTCAATAAAAATAATTATTAGTATCTTTACGGGAATCTTTATTTTGTTACAATAAGTTTTACAAATAGCCAATTTTTTCATTGTCTATATTCGGTGATTTACACTGATTTGTTTCTGAGCCCTTCAATTGTAAGACAAGACTCAAATTTTATACACAGTGTCCCAAAATGAATTGTACAGAGTAAAAGGTGATTTGTGACATCACAATAATGTGATCTGAACAAACTTATCTTGGTCCAAAAGTTTATAGTAACAGTGTTACAGAATTTTATTTTCAAATTTTTTTAAATAACCTCCGAGCTAATTGATGTATTTAAATGAAATTTGATATCCCAGGGTTTTTTGATAAAAAAAAATCAATTTCCTCATAACTTTTTTATACATTCTAGAGGGCGCCACCTCTTAGAACTTTTATAGTTAACAATTTTTGAGTTTAAACCTTTAAATTGTTGATTCTTTTAAATGCAAATATCTCAAGAATGTTAATTCCTAGCAACGGATGGTTAAGAAGGTATACCGTTTTGATGTAAGAACGATGGAAAAAGAGATGTTGCTATCAGAAAGTAAGGTACAGTGTCTAGCACGAAATTTATGAACTACAAAAGTACAAGGAGACGACGTAAGTGGCGTCCTCTAGAATGTATGTCAAAATTATGAGGAAATTTGAATGTATCACGTAAAAAAAAAACCGAGAAACTAAATTTCGTTTAAATACATCAATTACTTGGAAGGTTATTTAAACAAATTGAAAATAAAATTCCGATTTTGGACATTAGCTCAGTTACTATAAAACATTATGTTGAAAAATGTGGGCAAATAAATAAGGAACATAACATAAACGCTCATATATTTAGAAAAATAAACAAATATTGTGTTTGTATAACATTATCTATAAGAATACTTACTGTAACAACAATTATAAAAAAATGACGTCTGCGCAACAATCAAAAATTCTACACAGGACAAAATTTTACAACCTCCTGCTTGAATTAAGAATTGCAAACGCCTCGCAACTCACAACAAATCTCATTACCTTACAACTAAACACAGATTGCGACACAACGCGAAAGAAACAAGGCACGCGACTTATTTCTTAACAATCCCTTCCCTCCTCGGTCGCCGCTCGTTTGTTTCCAAGACGCCTTGACGTTGATCCTTCGCAGATTTCCCCGGGCCATCCTTCTTCTGCCCGTTCTTGGCGTAGTAATAATTCAACACCTCGTTCCTAGCGGAATTCCTGGAGTCCCCGAAATTTATCCTCCGTATCTGCTCCAGGATGAGCCTGTCGTCGTAGATCCTCTCGTGCGACGACGAAGTCGGTCTGCTGAGCTTGGCCTGCGCCTTGTTCGGGTCGTTTTTCTGAGGGGTCCGAGCGGCTGTCAGCTTCTTCTGGCGGTCGATCACGCTGCTGTTGATGGCCACGTTCCTCCTCAAGTGCGAGCTCTCGGACAGGTCCAGCTCCTCCCTCGTCTTGGTCCTGACCACGAAGGACTTCGCCCTCTTCAGCCTCTCGAACATACCCGCGGAAATTGAACTTTTTCTCGGTCTTCCACGGCGTTGGGAAACGCGTTGGCACCGCTCGACACGACGAGTACAAGCAATTGTTCCAGATAAGCCCGTTGAGATTATTCCGTTTCTTATCTACACGGTAAAGATAAAAACTTATTTATACGGGTAATTTTCACGAAATTGTCTTTTCCGTGCGTGCATCTCGCTTATCTAGGGGCATTCCACTTTTGAGATACGCATACGTGTTATTTACGGCCGTCCAAGACGCGGTCATTGTGACGAATCGAAGATAAAAATCGATTGGCGTCGCACAATGACACTTTTGAAAAAATAAAAATAAACAAGTACAAAAATTATGATCTTTGTTCAACATGTCCTAATAGGCCAGGAAAAAAAGCTGGGAAATGACCATTTCACGACTTTTTGCTTCGGCAAGCTGAATGGATCACTATAGATACTAAATAACGAGCGTTCAAATAAAAACGTGGTCAAGTTGGTTCTGAAAATTTGGACGTAGGGCGTAGCGTATAGCAAATGAACTTAAACGTCATCTGTCAAAGCGCTATATCGCCGCTATCAATTTGAATATTTTCGTTTTAAAAAGCGTTTAAAATGGTNAACGACACTAAATGAATTAATAATGAAAGCCGAGTGAACGTCGCCACCTCGGCCCGTGCTCCTCGATGGACGTCATGACGACGACGACAAGCTGCAACATCCGATCCAATAAATAATAATCTTTGGGGGGGCCGCCCGGGGCAAATCCTATCCTAGGGACGAAAGTCGCAGACGGCCTCGCGTCGGACGGGGCCCCGGACGCGAAACACAAACAACTACGGCTATTTGGCTAGGAGTCTTAGTCATCATTGGGACTTGGACTCCTCGCTGTAGTCGTCGCTGCTCGAACGGATGTCCCCCTCCATCTGACCGGCCTTCAGCGAGTTGTACGCTATCTTCAACAGCAGGTAGGTCCAGAAGCAGTGCAGCACCAGCAGCAGGATCAGCAGGCTGTTGAAGATGTAGTAGGCGGGGAACATGGGCACGACCTTCGGGGCGTCGATCGATGTGCTGCAAAAATCGGCGTGCTTCGTGAGACGGGTTCGGGGTTCCGTTCTTTATGGATATGGAGGGGGATTCTGGAACGGGAACTCGCGGCGGCGGAGGAGAGGAATGATGGGATATAAAATGTATATCATCCCGTTAGATGCGATAAGAGCAAAACGGAAAGAGCAAAAAGGAAACCGCAAGAGCGGTTAATTTTTTCCAATGTCGCACAATTTTTTTTTTACAACATGATGCTCAGCTTGATCAAGTCTGTTAGTAATTTTTATCAGCACTGCCGTCGAAAATACTTTCAAATTATTTCCAATTTTAAAATTTGTGATATTAACGATTAAAACTTTAATTTTTCTAGTGGGATCGTACTAGGATGGAACGAAATGAGGTCGAGTTTGGGCGAGCTTAAGAATTACAAAAAAAATCCATCCACTTACTTGCGAATTATCCAGAACGGATAGATCACCAGCCTGGTCAGGATCCAAAGGACGGTGAGAATAGCGAAAATGGCGTCGCACAATTTCTGATACCCGGCGTACTTCGCCATCTTTGCGCCCTAAAACAAACATGCAATCGACTCGTTTGATGAAAAAAAGTGACGCTAACTCACCTCTAAGAATATGTCGGCGCTGTCGTGCACCACCAGGACGAGGCAGCCTATGCGGAAGACGTTGACCATCCAGGAGAGGGACATCAGGAGTATGGCGGCGATGTGGTGGATGAACATCTGCCAGAAGTCTTTCCGCCTAACGTCAAAGAACTGGCTGACGCACAGGGACCAGTAGAAGGATAACGAGACCATGTAGTACCACCAGATGTCGCTGGTCACCGATTGGTGCGGAAACCCATTCCTGAAAATAACGAATCTAGTTTGAGCCCGACTTAATCATGGTTGTGTTGTACTTGACCAATAATTTTAAAGTAATTGTCACAATTTATACAGGGTGTTCTCAAAGTTGAGTTATTTATTTTAACAGCCAGTAGAAGTCATAAAAAAAATTCGATGTGTCGTTTTCGACAATTTCTAAAATTTCTTCCTCGATCTCCATCATTTCGCGTGGAGAAGGTCTTCCAGTGAAATCTCCTCGTTGTTCCTTTAAATACCGTGTGTCGCGGAGTCGTATAACTAAATTTACAAACATCCGCGGAGCCGAATGATTTCGTGAAGGAAACCTTTCCGCGTACAAGCGACATGCTGTGGCTGCATTTTGTCGACACTCCCCGTAAGTTGACATTATGTCCACTAGTTCATTGTTTTCATAAACATGTGCCATTTTTATTGCGCAAAGCAACAGCAAATCGATAATGATATTACGCACTACTGTACGAATTATTTAGCACTGTCAAATCGAAAAGCGTACTGAAAACCGTGCAACTACAAAAAAAAGAGAGACCCAGTATCAGTAGTACACAAACAATTTATATTTTTACAACGAAGTGGTCGAAAATGACAATAAATCAGGTTTGTATTATAAAGTTTTTAAATTTAATTTTTTTTTAATAATTGTTAATTGCTTCATTTGACAACTTATATATAACGATTTTTGGTAAATTTTGGTGTGAAATTTTCTTGCCGAAAACCGCACATGCGGAAATTATTCTGGGAAATTTTTTCTTAGTTACGAATATTTTTAAATAATTATCTCTCGTCTTCGACTCAGGATTTTTAAAGTATCCATGACCTTGAAAAAGTTTCCGGATATAATTTATGGACCAGCGACATTATAAGTGACAATTCATCGAGTCAAAAATAAATAAATGTAGAACAAGTTTTACATTTACCACATCACACAATAAATCGGTCAAGAAATCGTTACAATACTGTACTCCCGTAGTACTTGTTACAATAAATTGGCTCATTTATTGGCTAAATTTAAGGCTACCAACTTTTAGGATAAAAATTATCATCACAAGTTTGGACATTTTTATTTCATCAAGAATTAAAAAATGTAGCAGGTTTACGGTTAAGAAATTGTTACGATTCACTATTTCCATGATTAGGTTTTACTTGTTACAATAAATCGGCTGGCTAAACAAAATAAAACTGGTTTTGTGTGTCACTTTTCTCTGAAAATTGAGTTACATATTGAAGGTGTCTTCTTAAAGTTGAAACTTATGAAACGCTTTATCTCAATAAAAATAATTATTAGTATCTTTACGGGAATCTTTATTTTGTTACAACAAGTTTTACAAATAGCCAATTTTCTCATTTTCTATATTCGGTGATTTACACTGATTGGCTTCTGAGCCCTCCAATTGTGACAAGATTCAAATTTTATAGTGTCCCAAAATGAATTGTACAGAGTAAAAGGTGATTTGTGACATCACAATAATGTGATCTGAACAAACTTATCTTGGTCCAAAAGTTTATAGTAACAGTGTTACAGAATTTTATTTTCAAATTTTTTTAAATAACATCCGAGCTAATTGATGTATTTAAATGAAATTTGATATCCCAGGGTTTTTTGATATGAAAAATTCAATTTCCCCATAATTTTTTCAGGCATTCTAGAGGGCGCCACCTCTTAGAACTTTTATATAGTTAACACATTTTTTGCTACACACTGTATTTTTATTATTTTGTGCTGGCAATATCTCTTCCCATTACTTTTACATCAAAATGGTATTCCAACACTAATTAAGTGACATGTTTGGAATAAATTAGTTTTGAAAGCATTTTTCATTGTTTTTGTTTTTATATGCAGGACTACTTTGATAAAATATATCTACGAGTACAGTGTGAGTTTAAACCTTTAAATTGTTGAATCTTTTAAATGCAAATATCTCAAGATTGGTGAATCCTAGCAACGTTAAGAAGGTATACCGTTTTGATGTAAGAACGATGGAAAAAGAGATGTTGCTATCAGAAAATAAGGTACAGTATCTAGCAAAAAATTGAACTACAAAAGTTCAAGACCACATAAGTGGCGCCCTCTAGAATGTATGCCAACATTATGAGGAAATTTTAATGTATCACGTCAAAAAACCCAAATTTCGTTTTAATATATCAATTAAGACTTGGAGTTTATTTAAAAAAATTTTAAATAAAATTCTGATTTTGACACTAACTTGGTTACTATAAATAGTCCAATCAAATTATCGAAATTACCTAATTTTTTTGCCAAAAAATAGTTCAGTAATTGAAAATATGTAAAAATTAGGAAAAATTCCCTAGAATTCAATGCACTACTTTACCCCACCTGAATTTTTGGGCTTTATTTTCAAAATGGCGGCAAAAGTTCGCAAAAAACAGTTTTTTTTTATTTATAAAAAAAACCTAAACATTTTAGAAAAACATGTTTCAAACCAAAGTTGTAGGAATTTTGAATACAGATCGAATAAGCCCAAATCGGTTTTGATCGATAAATAAATTAATTAGTTATTGCAAAAAAAAACGCTAAAAATCGCAATTTTTTCAAAATAGCAGTTATCTCAGTCTCTCAAAAATAAATATTTTTTATGAAACTTGGTGAAAGGATAGTTCTTGGTGAGCAAAATAAAATTCAAAAATATTTTATAATTTTCGCAAAAATCGAGTTTTTCGAAAAAAAAGCTTTTTTGTAAAATCCCCATAATTCATAGGCCGCCACGTCTTTAGGAACGTGGTTGGGCTTAAAATTTTCTTTAATAATTACATTATTATGTGCAAATATTGCGCGAGCTTCAAATCGATTTCAAATATCGCAAAAAACGAACGAAAAATCGATTTTTTTTTTCGGGGCCATAAAACTTTGATTACCTAACTTTTTGATTTCAATCCGTATCAAATTGTCGATACTGCCATTCGAAAGGTGACATTTTTTCACGAATTTAAAAAAAGTCTGTCCTATCACCAACAGGGACCGAAATTTTTTATTTTTTTTTATCAATATATTTATCAATAATAAGGACTGAAATTTACACGTTATCGTACTTCAATATAAAAAATAGTCCGCAACGATTGGTCCCATTTTCTTTCATTAAACTTCATTTTTATAGGCCCCGTATGTTGCTTGCTCGGCCCCACACCTTGATGCACGCTGTGGGGGAGAAGACTAATATACTATATCGCTTCTCAAGCGGAAGAACAATAACGTAATTTCAAATTTCTGTTTATAATAATCCCAACACATTTTTTATTTAACAGATTCTATAATACACAGATAGTTTCCACACTTATTCCAGTTACAGAATTGTTAATAAATTTCTCCTCATTTAAATGACAAATTTCATAATTCTGTGGGTACACATGCCGCAAGTGCATGCATTTTTAAGCATTACGTCAAGAGCGCCGCCGGACGCACCAACCTTCCAGGAAGGGTCTACGGCGGGCTGGCGCCGGCGACCAGATGCGTACTCATATACCTACGACCGACTCCACGCACGGGGACTCTCCGACACTCACCCCGTCAACACGTATTTTTCTATACAAATTAGTTTTCAATAAAATACTTTATTATTACCGTTGAGAGAGCGTTTTATTCTTGCTGTACAGCGAAAGCAACCCTCAATTCTTTCAGTTTTTTCTTTCACATATTTACAGTTACGTCAATGTTCCTTCAGAGAAGTGATATGTCGATCCTACGTAACGAACTACGTGTATTTTTTCTTTTTATGTACATTTACAAAGCTTTTTTCGATCCGTATTAAAAATTCCTACAACTTTTGTTTGAAACATGTTTTTCCAAAATGTTTAGTTTTTTTTAATGAAAAAAACTGGTTTTTTTTGCGAACTTTGGACGCCCTTTTTAAAAATGAAGCCCAAAAATTCAGGTGGGGTAAAGTAGTTCCTTGAATTCTACGGAATTTTTCCTAGTTTTTACATATTTTCAATTACTGAACTATTTTTTTTGTGACCTGAAAATGTAATTTGATTGGGCTAAAAACATTTTGTTAAAAATGTGTGGGCAAATAAATAAGGAACATAACATAAACGCTCATATATTTAGAAAAATAAACAAATATTGTGTTTGTATAACATTATCTATAAGAATACTTACTGTAACAACAATTATAAAAAAATGACGTCTGCGCAACAATCAAAAATTCTACACAGGACAAAATTTTACAACCTCCTGCTTGAATTAAGAATTGCAAACGCCTCGCAACTCACAACAAATCTCATTACCTTACAACTAAACACAAATTGCGACACAACGCGAAAGAAACAAGGCACGCGACTTATTTCTTAACAATCCCTTCCCTCCTCGGTCGCCGCTCGTTTGTTTCCAAGACGCCTTGACGTTGATCCTTCGCAGTTTTCCCGGCGCCATCCTTCTTCTGCCCGTTCTTGGCGTAGTAATAATTCAACACCTCGTTCCTAGCGGAATTCCTGGAGTCCCCGAAATTTATCCTCCGTATCTGCTCCAGGATGAGCCTGTCGTCGTAGATCCTCTCGTGCGACGACGACGTCGGTCTGCTGAGCTTGGCCTGCGCCTTGTTCGGGTCGTTTTTCTGAGGGGTCCGAGCGGCTGTCAGCTTCTTCTGGCGGTCGATCACGCTGCTGTTGATGGCCACGTTCCTCCTCAAGTGCGAGCTCTCGGACAGGTCCAGCTCCTCCCTCGTCTTGGTCCTGACCACGAAGGACTTCGCCCTCTTCAGCCTCTCGAACATACCCGCGGAAATTGAACTTTTTCTCGGTCTTCCACGGCGTTGGGAAACGCGTTGGCACCGCTCGACACGACGAGTACAAGCAATTGTTCCAGATAAGCCCGTTGAGATTATTCCGTTTCTTATCTGCACGGTCGCGATAAAAACTTATTTATACGGGTAATTTTCACGAAATTGTCTTTTCCGTGCGTGCATCTCGCTTATCTAGGGGCATTCCACTTTTGAGATACGCATACGTGTTATTTACGGCCGTCCAAGACGC